GTAAAAGTCCCGTGGGCTACGTGGTCTCGTCGTGTGTACAGCCGCGGAGAGCGAGAGGGAGGAAAGTGACTAGCGTCTATATCTTTGCCAGGTGGCTCGCTAGCTCTTTCCAGTAGTTCTTATCTCTGTTGCAACTTCTCTCGCTACTACGCTCGCCTTATCGCCGCGGCTCTCCTCGATGAGACCTCTACGATAATTAGCTATTCGCCAGAGTTCAGCGGGACTGATAAGGCTGCGTATTAAACGCTCGTGAAATCTGTCCGCGTAATTGGATGGAGAAAAAAAGAGGGAAGGCATCAAAGCGGATCCTCCGAGCAGCTGAAAAAAGCGCAATTTTTAATTCCGAACGGGCGTCGGCTGTGAAAATTGTTCGCGTCGAGTGACAGACAGAACGAAAACTGGGAAAACGACAACTGTCTCTCTCTCTCTCTCTCTCTCTCTCTCTCTCTCTCTCCGCTGCGCGCGGAAATCAATAGAGCCGACGCGAATGACAAACTAGGAAAAGCTTACCCCTCGCGTTGCTTGCGTTTACTATTGCTATCAGTTTTTTTTTTTGTTTTTTATTTTGCTACGGCCGGTCGACTCAGCGTTTTTAATCTCGCATGAGGACAGGAGTAATGTATAGCGGCGGCATGCGTTGTCGCTTTGTTTTTCTTGAATCCGTGGGTATAACGTGAGATAGAGCACGTTACGGTTAAATAATCAAAAGTCCGTGTCGTATTTTGGCGGAGAGGATAAACTAGCCGCGATGAATGAATCGGCGAAAAATTCGTGTAAATACGCGCGCGGGACACTGTTGCCGAGGCGGGAGGAAGAGTTACGTATGCAAATCGAGGCCAAGAGTAACCCGTGGATTCTCAGAAGGCGGCTCATCTTTTCTTCATTGCTTCGCTTTTCAGCTGAAAAGCTGAACGAATTACCATTAGAATTCACCGACGTGGATTTGCACTCGCGGTTAATGCGACTGCGAGGGGCTTTGCGACGGACCACGCGCGAGTGTGACTTTGTTTATGGACCGAAAGGAAGCCTCGACTTTTTCTCTGCGTTCGATGAACTTTGTCGGTGGCTACGTCAAAACCTGATTACATAATTCGGTAATTTATTCGAGCTTGCAAAGCGCCATTCAATTAAAACGAAAAATGCAATCTGCTAAAATTACATAGCTGCTATAGTTGAGTAACAATATACGCGATAAATCGTCGGTACCTCGATAAACAATAGTATGATTGAGATTCGTTAATGAGCTCGCGTTGAATGGCCGATGTACTCTTTTCGTTGCGTGTGCGTCGCGAATTATTGATCCGTGCTCCGGCAGCTCTCCGTCGGTTTTTGTCCATTGTTGCAAGACAAATGTGCCTATTCCTGCCTGCCCGCCTCCACGCGAAAGTTCCATACGGATAAGGCATCTCTCGTGATAGCGAAAAAAAATTTAGGTTTCCTTCTCGCTATTAACGAGGTGTAAAATTTACGTTAATTTTGTACTCGACTACTTGTTTCTCTTGGGAATGACCAACTGCATATTAACCGAATTATCGAGCTTTTCGGCTAACGTATTCATGTTACGAGTCAAGCCATCTCCCTGTGGACGATCTTTGCGGCCAACGAGCTGAAACGCTGCTGCTGTAGGTTAGCGCCGATTGTCTGCCTCTTTTCTTTTGTGCAGCGATCACAAAATGCTTAATTTGTGGTCATTTTTAGAGGATCCCTCGTTACTTGTTTTTCATAGTCGAAAACGGATTTGATTTCACAAATTTAAATTGTAAAACTACTTGATGTTTATTAATTGATAGCGAACGTTTTATCATTTTTTTTATTCATTGATCAATTGAAAATCTTATCATTCGTTAATAAGCATTCGTGCCGCAAATAAGATCAGTAAATATTTTCTCGCTTGTGAAATTTGCGGTAGCAAAAGTAAGACGAAGTGTTAATGATTTTTAGAATTATAGTTTTCGGTAAGCTTTAACTACCACCATTTTACGGTTAAACATATAGAAAAATAGCCTTCTAGTAATTTTCTACAACGTTGCTTAAAAGCATTAAAAATTTCCTTGTTCCAAACTCATTAATAATATTAATAATATAATTAATAACCATGAGATTAAATATGATGAAATAGGTTAGGAACAAGAGGTAAACTAACTGTGTGACAAGTTGGTACAATTTTTATTAATGAATAGTCTCACTAACGATTTATTAATTTGTACTATTCAACTTTATTTGAAATCGAACTTTGGCTGTTTGTCATTTTTTTAAAAATGCGGTAGTACAGTGTTGTCATTTAGTTCAAGAATTTGGTGAAAGTAATCAATATCATCCAGATTATAATTTTGAATAATAACGAAATTTAATTGAAAAATTTTACGGTAAAGGTAAAAATCTTCAACGTCTGAGAAATCTCATCAAAAGTCCGCAAGTCGGTGAAAGCTCTGAAAAACTCTCAGGAGTTTCTAAAAGTCTTACGAAAGTTCCAAATTGATCGCGACCTCTGCGGGATGACGACCATATAAATTCTTGAGTCAAATGAAAAAAAAAAAAAATTTTTTTTCTCTTTCTCGGCCATCAGGTCTCATCGTCTACCAAACGAAGAAAAATGCCTCCAACAATGTTATTCCACAAAATTGCCGCGTCAAGTGTTTCCATTTGCATAACGGGGATGTATAGCCAGGCTGTGTCTGGTCGCTGAAAGCAGCATTCATGCGGGCACAATGCAAGCGCGCTTCTCGTCGCGCGCTCGCGACCTTTGCCGCGCTGAGAGCGTCCTCGTTGAAGTATATAACGGCAACCGCGAGCCTTCGGATCCGTTAAGCACGCGGCGCGACGTAATTTCCATTTGTAATCCGTTGCGTGCAGAAGGCAGACGAAAATCGGGGCGAGCGTACGCGGCAGCGCGCTGCGCTCGTCGTCACATTGAGTTGGTCCGCCGAAAGCAGTCGAGGACTGCGGAAAAAGGGGTTGGCGCTGTGGTAATGAGATGCACTGCGCTCGATTTTCTGTATCTCGATGATGAATCCCGACGAACGATACAGGACGCCTAGCGCGCAGCGCTTTTCTATCGCCAGGCGCGCTCAAAGTCGCTCGGGAAATTAATTTTGATAAGGACATCTGCGCCGAACGTTTGTAATATTCGTGGTTAAATGAGAGCTTAGGCAAACGCGCTTTGCTCCGATCGAGCGCCTCCACTTAAGTTGCACAGCTCGAGCACAAATAGAAGCAGTGAAAAGTGGCAGATGGAGAGCAATTGCAATGAAAAAAAAAACAGCTCGTCTCGATAGCAAATTAATTTTCTGCGATGTTTCCCTTCACAGATGAGCAGCAGGTACCGACGCTGTGCGAGTTGGCAGCACGTTGCGTCGCGTCGCACATCCCATTCGAGCTGGTGGAGCACTTTTATTCACCGGTGCCGGAACAGCTTCAATTGAGGATAGCATTCTGGAGTTTCCCTGACAACGAGGAGGATATTCGGTTGTACTCGTGTTTGGCCAACGGCAGCGCCGACGAGTTTCAACGGGGCGAGGTGCTCTTTCGATCGAAGAATGTCAAGGATCCACTGCAAATCGGTTGGTTCATTCAAACTTTCGTAGTTTTCTTTTTTTTACAATCAACGGAGTAGTTTTCAAAGTTCTTACAAATCGAACGACGCTACCACACGAGTACGTTTTCGAAGAACCGCAACTAAAGACCACTTTCTCCATGGGATAAGTAGGCGCGGACCGCACTTTTCCAAATTACTAACTTTAGTGAAATCGACTAGGGGGAGGGAAAAATGCACAACGCATTTCCTCGAAATCCAAGCTATAGAATTTTCCCAGAAAGAAGCATTTATAAATCTGCGGGAGTAAGTAGAGCAGCAATTTCGGAGTCATTTACAAATATATAAGTAAAGTAGAGCGCGAAAAGATAAACAAGACGGGGCCGTTGTGTTGCAGGCGCAGGAAAAGCTGCGTGCGCGACTTTTTGGCGGTGAATAAATCCGCGGTCATGCGCGCAGCATGGGAATGGCGATGCGCTGCTTGGGCTTCTGTAGCTTAATATTTGAATAGGCTCGCCCAACTTGGCTGCCTCGCGCGGCTTTCGCTTGATTCTGTCGACCGCGTTACACACTCGCGGATGTGTACTTGTGCCGTGAGATCCCGCGCTCTTCGTAACTTTGACGCTCGGAAGGAACTCCGCAGGGCAGAAAGAGAAGTTGGCCGAGGAGGAGATGGACGAAAAATAAAAAAGAAAACGACGCACTCTCTTTCGATGCCCGTGAAAATGCTCTCGAGCGGCGCGACGTCCAATGACAGCCGTCCGATAATTTGAAAGCCGCGCTTCGAAGACGATCGCCTTGGCCGCTCCCCTCGAACGGTGCTGCGGTTGCACAGCCAACCCCTCGCTCGCGCAGCGCGGGGTCAGGTTTTCAATTACCGCTTCGCTCGCGCAGCACTCGCTGGTCGTCGCATTCCCCACGCAGCAGCGCTGCGATATTCTCCGCGCTTCGTATAAGAAAGCGCGTACCTACATCACTCGTCCCCTTTGCACAACAGCCAACTTCGTTCCGATCTGCGCCTACGCATTAGCGCTCTCTTCTCCGCTCTCGTCTCCGCTCCGCTGTTGTGGAAGCTCTACCGGGTTAAATGCGAAATCTAAGGAGGCACATTAAGTGCTCGAGAGGTTTATCGATCGCTCTCCCGGCAGAAAATGCCTCTTATTATCCTTGTTCTTCGCGTAGGAGTAGCGGCCAAGAGACTCATTACGCTCGTTTCCTCGTTTATTGTGGTTTTTTTTTCTTTTTTTTTTTTCGGCGGAAATTCCGGTTTCCAGCTCCCTCCAAAGCTGCCGAACGAAAGTACAAAGAGAAGGATCGTCAAGCGTCAAGAGAATGGCTTATCACGCAGAGCCAGCTGGCGCGGCATTGTTTAAAATTAAAGGAAAATATAGCCTGACTTAAAAATCACCTTTCTTTTCTGGCAGGATTCCATCTGAGTGCAACGGTGACTGCGCTCATCGTGTCGAACAATGGTTTCCGCGAGTCTTTCAACGTCGCGGTGACGTTTGACCGGCGAAGGATCACCTCGTGCAACTGCACCTGCTCGTCCGCCGCCTACTGGTGCTCGCACGTAGTTGCAGTGTGTCTGCACAGGATACACATGGTATGACCTCATTTGCTCGCTCTCACTCGCTCAACTGACACACACACACACACACACACACACACACGTACTATTTTGAAAGACACCAATGGGCACCAAATGTTGCACTCGCTATCTACTTCCGAGACATGCTTTTTCCTGGTCCCTTCCTTCGCGAAGAATGCCACGGAATAATATCGAGTCAGGTGTCGTTAGAATAATCAAACGTGTACTCGCAGCCAACACAGGTATGCCTGAGAGCGCCTGTATCCGAGTCGTTGTCACGGCTACAACGGGAACAGTTACAAAAGTTCGCACAGTATTTGATCAGCGAACTGCCCCAGCAAATTCTGCCGACGGCGCAACGTTTGCTGGACGAATTGTTGTCGGCAACGCCGAGCGCCATCAATACCTACTGCGGTGCACCCGATCCCACCGCTGGCGCCTCGGCCAACGATCAGACGTCCTGGTATCTCGATGAAAAGACGTTGCACGACAACATCAAAAAAATACTCATCAAGTTTTGCGTGCCCGCGCCGATTGTTTTCAGGTATGCTGAGTATATTCGCTTCCTTCTCGGATCAGTTGACTTATTTCAGCTTACTTTCAGCGACGTGAATTACTTGAGCACGACAGCTCCACCCGCTGCTGCGGAATGGTCATCCCTTTTGCGACCATTGCGCGGTAGAGAACCGGAAGGCATGTGGAATTTGCTGAGCATCGTTCGAGAAATGTTCAAACGCACCGACCGTAACGCCATCCCGCTGTTGGAGATTATCACCGAGGAATGCATGGCCTGCGAGCAGATACTCGTGTGGTGGTTTAACACCAAGGTTGCTCTACTCAATGGCAATGGCTACGGAGGAGGCAAACACGGCAACATGAACAGCAACGCTCACGCCTCACAACACGCGTGCTCTTCGCTGTGCGACGAGATCGTCGTTCTCTGGCGACTGGCTGCTTTGAATCCGGGACTGTCGCCCTCGGAGCGAACGATGCTGCACAAACAGTTCACCGCCTGGCATATGAAGATCATCGACAAATTAACGAAAATTCGTGGATCGACGGCCTCGCAGAATTCGCACAATCGCAACAACTGCATCGGTCAGAAAGATTCACTAAAGTCGGACCTCGAGATGTTCATCGGTTTCAAGCCGGCGTTGGAGGCTTGCTACCTTGACTGGGAGGAATACACGCTGCCTGGCATCACGTACACCGCCAGTACCAACCCCATGTACCACTGTCCCTTCACATGCTTCAGGCATACGGGCGACTCGAAAACCGAGGTCAATCAGGTTAACTCAAGTTCGGCAGTGCTCAATTGCCAGCCGCCCACATCGCATCACCACAGTCGCAGGAACAACTGCTTGGGTTTGGTTGAGTTTAGCTACATGGACCGCAGAAGACTGAACCATCGGGATTTCCCGGGATTGTGCTCGCGTCCTAATGCCGGAGGCGGAGACGGCAATCGCAGCAGTGACAGCTCCGAAGGCTTTTGCGAGAACGATGGCGACATCGCTGATATTCCCGAAATACCTGTAGTTCTCGTAAGACGAGGTATGGGCCAAATGAATAACTGTTGCGATACCGACTCACAGGTAAGTGCTAATTTATCGACTAAACTGGTCAAGCTCCAGATTGGCGTGTCAAAGCTTCGAAATAAATTAATCACTGTTTTTGTCCGGCAGGAGGGTGGTGGTAGTGAATCATCATCGAACAGCAATGTTAGCTTAAAGAATGCTCAAGGCTCCGATGTATTGCACTCTAATGCATCCTCTGAGACACACAGCGACACAAGCGACAGCAGCATCCAGAAGTGTCCAAGCAACGTCAACTGCAACGCCAGATGTTCGAAAAGTCCGACCGCAGCCGAGTTGTTGGAAGCTGTAAATGCTGGCGCGGCTGTGGCTGCATCGGTCGTCGTTGTAGGTACACCTCCGGTTGCTGCCGCAGCTCCTGTTGTTGTAAATGACACAGCGACGTCTAAGAAACCGAGCGAACAAGAGTCTGACCAGGAGAAAGATCCATCCAGGAGGCCGTCCAAGGACGAGAGCTCATCGTCAAGTAGCGACAGTCCTTCCGGAGACGAGTATCATGTGTATTATTACGATGCCAAGTCAAACGTCAACGGTACCGTTAACAAGGATTCCCAACTCGATGTCAACGGTGCAGCAGCTGCTAACGTCAAAACTATCTTAGGTTCGTATTAATCAAGATTTTTCTTGTTATGTCTGAAATTTGCTTAAAGCATTTACAGTGTGTCATTGGTTGTACAGGTAATCTCAAGAAGACTGAAGACCCATGGGATGTTCTCTTTGCGCGTGCGGAGGGTCTCTATGCTCACGGGCATACACGTGAAGCCTGTATTCTTGGCGTTAAATTAGCTGAAGAACTGTTGGCAAACCCACCAGATCTCATGATTGAAGTGCCTCCAATGCCTGTGAAAGGCAAGAGGAAGAAGGTACTTTTACTTGACGATATTTTTTATATATAAATTTTATATATTATTAGTTATAAACAGCATTTATTTTTGCAGCAACAGGTGAATCCAGCGTCTCATCAACTCACGTGTTCTGCTTCGGCAACACTAGCGAAATGCGGTTTTCTTTGTACAGTTTTAGCCGAAAACCCAGAATATTATAATTTGGCATTTAGAGTGGGCCTCTTTGGATTAGAAATGGCTAGACCACCTGCGAGTACGAAACCACTGGAGGTATAAATTCTTAAATAAAAGTAAATATTTTTCATGTTATTTGAAATTTATGAACTTATCGTTTCAATTCTTTATTACAGGTGAAACTGGCCCATCAAGAGAGCGAACTTGTAACTTTGCTCAAGCGAATACCGTTGGGACTAGACGAACTAAACATGATCAGACAGCGAGCCAAAGCACTTAGAGATAATGTTTATCGTTCAAGAGGTGACGCTTTGCTGCCAATCATGCTAGCGAGCTTTATCTTTGATGCCCTGAACACACCGAGTAAGCCTAATTTTGATCAAATTCATACTGTTTGAATTATTTTTTTAAAAAGCTTTAGAAATAGATATATAAATTATGAGTATCAGTGATGTAATTATGTTAAACAAAAAAATGTTTTTCTAAAAAGTTGAAATACAATTCACAGGAACGAAAATGGCTCTAGACATAGACGAGAACTTAGGTTTTGATGCTGCTGTAGCTGCTCTTGGGTTAAAAGCAAATGTTAGCGAAGCTGATCATCCATTGTTGTGCGAAGGAACACGTCGTCAAAGGTATTTTTTAGTTAAATTGTTTATAAAATACGTACAATTTGTATTTTAAACTAAATGGCGACTATTTGTTTTGCAGAGGAGAATTGGCTATAACATTGTTGGTCCATTATAAAGATGAATCCATAAAAGTCGCTAGAATAATGGATAAACTGCTCGACCGAGATGTACATCAGCTCATCAAAACGCCCATATTAAGTAGTTACTACAGTGCAAATCCACCTACGAGAAGCCAGGTAAAAAATTCTATCTTGTAACGAACTATCTCGGAAATTCCCAACTTAAAATGTTTGAGATAATACAAACGGTTTTGTATTTTTAGCTATTGAGTTTTCGTCGAGAGAGAGCTTGTTCATCACCGCTGACAGGTGATGCATCTGGCTCAAGTGAAGGCCTCGTTGGAAGTAATAGCAGGCCACACAGTAGCACCAGTGCCGAGTTAGAAGCTGGCATGAGCGCATTGTCCGTTGCACCCACTCCTGGACAGCAAACAGTACCAACGAGAACAAAGGAAGGTGGCTCATCCAGACCGCATAGGTACAAATGCAAGAGGTCATCGATTGCCAAGCCATCCATACCAAACCAGCCGTCCGAAGCTGGAGCACACTTCATGTGCGAGCTTGCAAAAACAGTGCTTACAAAAGCTGGTGGCAATAGCTCTACATCTCTATTTACTCAAGCTTCAACAAGCCAAAACCATCATGGTCCTCATCGAGCTCTACACATGTGTGCTTTTCAACTTGGCTTGTACGCTCTGGGTCTTCACAACTGCGTCAGTTCCAACTGGCTTAGTCGAACATATTCTAGCCATGTAAGCTGGATTACAGGACAAGCTATGGAGATCGGAGCTCCGGCTATTTGGTTCCTCATCGACAGTTGGGAGGGACATCTCACACCACCTGAAGCAGTCAGTATCGCTGACAAAAGCTCTCGGGGTAGTGATCCTAATATGGTCAGAGCTGCCGCGGAATTAGCATTGTCTTGCTTGCCACATGCTCACGCGCTTAACCCTAATGAGATTCAGCGCGCGATCCTGCAGTGTAAGGAACAAAGCGATGTTATGCTCGAAAAAGCTTGTTGGACGGTCGAAAATACGGCCAAAGGAGGAGGTGTTTATCCAGAGGTTCTATTCCAAGTTGCGAAGTACTGGTACGAACTCTATCTTCGGGTAAGTGTCGCAAATTTCCCAAACAATTTTCATATATATTATCAAGAGCTTCGCTATTGACGTTGGAATGTTACTTGTAGCACACACCTGGCGCGGATCAACAAGACGAAATACCCCACGAGCAATTGCCGTTGGATGCCAACGGTTCATTGATAGTCGATCCTAGTCCTCCAATGGACCTGGCAACTGGCCAGTTATTACCAGGACAAGCGCAAGCAGTGGTCGTGACGAGTGCTCAACCACCGCCACAACCTTATGCTCATCCAGCTATAACCACTCTTGCTCCGCTAGGTAAATCTCTTTTTTTAATAAAAAACTTATCAATCTGTCATCTTATCAAACGTAAACTAACCGTCACATGCCAAAGTTAATCGTGTTCCAGATGTCGGCATGCAATACACTGTGCCCTACAGTTTTGTGCATCCACATCAACAATTTCCTCATCAACCGTTCGGTGGTCCAATGCAGCCTCATCGCGTAGCATTACCACCTCAGCCACCGAACATGCAGATGTATCATCCATATCCACCACATCCCGGACACCCGGTACAGCATCCACAGATGCCTCAGCATCCACAGATGCCCCAGCATCCGCAGATATCTCAGCATCCTCAGATGCCCCAGCACCCGCAAATGCCCCAACATCCGCAGATGCCTCAGCATCCGCAGCACCCGCAGCATCCGCAGCTGCCTCATCATCCTCCTCCAGGACAACCAACTCAAGTCTCGCAGTTCTATGCTCCACAGCCAAACGTCACAACTATCAACGTACACCCGCCACCTGGAACTCAGCATATGTTCACTATGCAGCAACCTATGCCTGTTAACGTAAGTGCTATAATTCTTTTTTTACTGTGTGCTGATTTTTGATAAATTGTTGGCATCAGCAAAATCTTGTGAAAATTTAATTAATCATAATTAATTATAAAAGTATTCACAAGAAAAGTTTATGCTGGAAACTGCAACGTACACTAATATTCAATTATGCTTGTAATTTTTTTTCTATCACGTTATCAGCATAAACTTGTCTTGTATATAATCGTATTTTTATATTTAAGAATTTGCATGACCTCTATGTTTATGTTTTTTAAGAACTCTATACTAATTTTTGATGATTTTTTTATTTTTAAGTTACTTGAATATTGGAGAAGCAATACCGGTGTAACTTTTGATCAGGTATGGTGCTACAGTAAAACAACTGAGTTCTCTAAATTATTTCTGTTTCTATTATTTGTTAAAGTTAATATTGACAATTTTCGTTATTGGTGTCATGCAAATTCGTAATTTTCATTACGTGTTATTGACTGTAATCCCAAATTATATCACCAATAATTTGATATTGATTGTTTTCATGTGCACTTTCTCAAGATTATCTATTGTACAACTTTGATCCATGTAAATACGTATTTTGATAAATTACTTATAAAAAATGTTACGTAAAATTATAGGTGCAACCCGGTATGTCAGGGCCTATGCCAGGTCAAAGTGGATTACCTGGTCCAGCTTTGATGCCACCTCAGCCAATGATGTCGAGCGTTCGAACGCAACCACAGGTACGCTATTAATTTAAAATTGAAAAAGTAATGGCGTTTATTATAAAATTATTCAATGGTTATTTATGAAATTTCAACAGGTGCACAGGCAAAATCAGTCGTATACACAGCAGCAGTTGAATGCTTTAGGAGCAGCCTATCGGGTTGGCATGTTGGCCCTCGAGACGTTGGCACGTCGTGTACACGATGACCGGCCACAGGCTAAGTACGCACGCAATCCACCCTATGGCGAGGATGTCAAATGGTTACTGCGTGTGTCCAAGCGCCTGGGTACTCAATGCTTGCATCAGCTGTGTGTCACCGTAGTCAACAGTATCGTCAGTCCATTCGTGCTGCACGATGTCGCACTCGAAGCGGCCTACTACCTCTCTAGAAACAATTCTGCGCTCGTTTTGCAGCATCTCCGATCTGCTTTTTTGGCTCCGCTTGTTCACAAATGTCAGCAAATGTAAGTTTGGTCACACAACTTACGATAAAAATAATTATATCTTAATACAACAGCGAATAAGAGCTTTTGTTTTGATTATAGGTACATTCAATGTATGCACCAGAAATTGTATCATCTTATGCAGCCCGACTATGAAGAATTTGCTAGCATCGTCCGTGCCGCAAGAGCAGCTTTTCACATTACTCCGGAAGGTCACACGCAATTCAAAGAATGGCTACAATCTATACGAAGGTAACGCGAAAGATTGATTATGTCACTTTCATCAATATTAATTGTATTTCACGTAAATACTTTACTGTTTTGTTTAAAATTAAACTGCGTACAATCTATTTTTAATTTAAATTCAGGTCTCAATCATGTAACAAAGATCTTTGGATACATATAAATGCAGCACTTCAGCAGAATAGCAAATGACACAAAGCGGAGCCATGGCTAACGCATCGACCGCAGCAACACTCATTCGAAGATTCTCATCTTGGGGCAACGACGTCTACGACATCGACAATCGCAGGTAATAATTCGGCCTCAAATTCCACGGAAGAATTGCCAACGGCAATGGAAGTTACAAGCGCAGACGTTGTCGATGAATTGGCAAATTCACTCATTGACGCAAGAATACGTCAACTCGATTTGGATATGCGTGGCTACTACCGACGTCGCGAAGACTGGTATCATCGACGTCACACTTTTGGATTTGCAGAGCAACATCTGCCATTAAACAATCATCTGGGACACAATAATCGTAGTCCATCGCTAGAGTGAGCGTGTAAATCTGATTGATGGAGCGTTTTATTGTTCAATATTCTTTTTTCTCTTTTCGTTTAGAATAATTTTATTTATCTTAATACGCTCTCATTTCATCGAAAACAAAATTAACGTAAGTAGCGGACCTTGAATATCGAAGATGTTTTAAAGACTGTAATAACCGATTCTCTGTGTTCTTTTTTTATTTTTTACGAGATTTTTTTTTACATAAAGAAATTCAACTGCGTATAGTTTAAGACGTGTTGACATGAAATGTGTTTCATTTTTTTCGTTGTAACGATCATACGTCGAGAAGCGTATTTCGAATGAGAATCAATTTTAAAGAAGAATGAATGAAATTTCAACAGTTGTTATCATAATCATAAATGGAACATTTATACGTCGTAAGGCAAATTTTTTCTATGAAAATAGATAGGACTGACGAATACCCATTAATTAATTTGCATGGTATTATTTTTTTTATTAACGAAAGATATCTTTCAATAATCTTTCAATACTCTTTAAATAGTAGAATGGAATTTGATATTGTGTTATATATAGTTTTTCGACTATATTATCCAGAGTGATAATTTGACATTATTTAGTGAAATTCTGCTGTGCGTAGTTTATAATATTATCTTCGTTCATGGTCCGCTTGATATCGAGCGTTTAGTTGATCTACAAATCTGCGATTATTTAAAAATCTATAAGTTAAGAAATGTAATGAAATAAGCAATGGTGTGCATATTACACATACGAAAAATCGAAGTGATCATTTAAACATCATTCACATCATTCATCGTTGTAAAAAAATCGAATACAAAATCTAATTGACATGCAATAATCAATTAATGAACAAAAAAATTGAAAAATCGAAAATTGATTTGTATGTTACGCACTTGAACGTAATATAATGGTTCCATCGAACACATCAATTTCATGTTTTAGTTAGACGGAAGTATTGTAGCCACAATTAGATAGAAAATTTTATTTTGAATTCTAGATAGGGCGAATTCTTGCATCTTGTTTCGCTTGATAAACAAGTGGCAAAAAATTTTGAATATTGATATAATATCTATTTATATACACGAGGGAAGATACCGATTTCTTCTCGATCACCGTATAAAAATGACATTTACTTAAACCCCAGATAAAAACTCGTTTCTTTTTAGTATTTAGATAATTTTCAGTTTTACGTTGAAGTAATCTTTTTTTCAAAACTTCATCTTTTATCTTCACTTTTTTCCTCTACTTTCATTCTCTACTATAAACGACTCTACGTATCAACGTATTAATGCATATAGTACGATAGATAGACAAAAATATATATATATATACACATGAAAAAAATATATATTATATATAAATATACGTATATAACGATATTCATCATAAACAGTCGTAGTATGTTTTCATTTAGTCGTAATCGACAATGCATTGAGTTAAACAATCTTTGTAATTTTTTAATTGAAATTATTTAAAATATCAATAAAGGAATGATAAATTACATATCATCGGTTTCGAGCCACCTATCCAAATCATAAATCAACGTTTCTGTAGTCTGTTATTTAAAACAACTTTTTTTTTAACAAATAAAATTGAAACAGAATTAACATTGACTTTATTATTCGTATATCACAAATAAACATTTCATTAGATCATAAAAAATTATATTAGAAGCTGATTTTTTTAACTGTCATTTTTTCCGTCATGTGAGGTGGCTAAGCAATAGTACCAAATAAAAAAAATCATTCACTTTGTATAACTACATTAAGTCTTTTTACTTGTATGAAATTGTATCAATTTTAATTTGAGGAAAGACGTCAGAAAATGATTCTTTCTTTGAATAAAATTCTTTCGAGAGATGGAACAAATAAAATATCGAAAAAAAACGAAAGATCTTTGCGTCCTAGTGATCAAGTTTTCAGCTAGCTTATAGAAAAAGCGTTTAGTAATAAAATGACAGTATTTGTAAATGAAAAAAAAAATCGTTTCCCCACTACCATGTTATCTTTATCGTTGAAAAATCTCATGGTTTTACTTTGTTACTCAAACACATTTTTCTTATTAAAAACAATATAACAAAAAAAAATGCACTAACAGTCTTATATGGAAAAAGAGAAAAAATTAAAAAAAAAAGGACGAACACACACATTTATTTATCGTCATATCCTCACTTTGATCGAAAATACCGAAAAATACATCGCGTGAAGCGATCTTATGGAAAAAACGATAATCTAAATATGATTGTTATTGTTTTCTTAATAGTAATGAAACACTGAACAGTGCCTCGTCAAAATCTGTGTGAACACTTATATTCGAAGTCGAGAATGCTCAATGTAAACTGCAACATTGTCCGCTCTCTGTAACTCGTATATTATTCGCTAGTGTTAAATCTATCATATAAGAAAGATAAAAAGAAAAAGAACCTTTGTAAAACTCTGAGAGCTAAAATACTTGTATAGATGATACTGCGATGCATATTAAAACGATAAGGAACGTAAAAACACTCAACCGGGGCCTTCCTTTTTTTTTTGAAAAAACCGCCCGTTTTGTAAGAGGTGACAAGATTACGGAAGATCAGATGCCCCTGAACGCAGATTACTAGCGTTACACACGTGCATTTTGGGGCAACAGTTTGACGAAATCGACGTGATCGATGCCGGCAATATAGAAGTTGAAAATGAATTTCGTGCTTCTGGGTAGTATTTTCATGTTCCTAATTTTTTAATAAAAAAATCAGGATAACGAAAAGGGTAGCAGACTAATGTTATTGCTCAATATAATTCTATTTTCAGGATAATTTTAATTGAACAAGTTATAACCCGGGCTTTTTGAATCGTTGCCGTGAGCAACATTGTAAACGATTGGAAAAAGACAAGTCTATTACGCCGCGTTGTTTCCAGGTGCCAATAAGTAGGAATTAATTCGGTATGTTTAGATGATCCGCTTAATTAGAAAGCTAATGTCCATATTGTAGACTCATCGCCATGTCTTTTTCAATGAAAAGCTTAGAGAGCAATAGGACTCGATAGTAATAGTAGAAAAAGAGTAGTATGCCGAAAAATTTTATGGAAATTAAAATTACATAAATTATGTACTTTCGTCATATTATTTTTATCGACATATTATTTACTAAATTGCGTACTTATTTTATAATTCTCATGTACCAGTATTCACAACCAGATTCATCAACTAGTGTTGATATTCATCCGTGCAAATAAATAGAAAATACAGCGAATGCTATTCCATTGTCAGCAAAGTGCCGTAAAATAAACCGTCAATATTGTAAGCGTGAAAAAGTGCTGTCGAACTTTACCATAGTTGAAAAAAGGGTTTATTATTATGTCACTGCGTCGATTTCACAAGGAGAAATTTCGTTTTTTTGCGTCGCAAACAATACTATATCTAGAGTAGAAATTCAGCATTATTGTCTTATCATAGTAGATCTTTTTATCTATAACAATTAAGAAAAAAAAGTATTTTGTCGTCATCGAGCGTGTCTTTAGAATATCATAAATTAAGCCTAAATATGGTAGTGTTAATAGAATAGATAGCTGCATTGTTGAAGCGCAATAATATCTTCACTTCCGGTGACTTTTTCACCAGAAATTTCATTCGTGTATTGAAATTAATGTATTAACGTAAATACTGACCGAGCTTTGATAACTTCTGTGACATTTGCGACACTGGTTTTTTTGAAACTATTCAACGGATCAAATGAAAATTTAGATATTAATGATTGCGCTTCAATAATAATCTATATGAGTGTACTATTTTTAGCAACTTTATAATGAAAGCATCGATTAGGATCATTGTCTATCGCAAAAAAGAATACTAAGAAAAATCTGTTTTGGCGAAACTTTCAAGATATTGCAAAACGATTAGCTGAGCTCTCTTAGTCGAGAGCCGTTGAACGAAGAAAAGGAAAATGCTGACGTAAATTATATTTAATACCTTTGAATAGAAAATATATGTGGCTATGCTCTTACATTTCTTTTTTTCTTTGTAATTTAAGTAAGAAAATATCAAAAGACAATTTACCTGTTCAAATCTTTTTGGAGCCCGCAGTTAGCATATAATGTACGGTATCAAATTACAGTGTGCGAAAAAAATGAAAAAATTGATGGTGGAAAAGAGAAGTCGAAGCAAAAAGAGATCTATTTTTACACTTGGTCTATAAAAAAATTGAAATACTTCAAAAAAGATACTTTAAAATGCGAAAAAATGAGAAAAAAAAAGAAAGCTGAACGATAGTTGAAATTTAGACAAATTCATCTGTAGTTTCATACTCTAGTCTCTAGTCAGGAAAATTATGTATCTAGAAATGCGAGAATTATTATTGTGTGATGTGAGATAGTAAAAGACTTTGCCTTCGCGTCGAATGCATAATTTTTATACGAAATTTCAAGTGGTAAGTGCTTATGTGGTACATCGATGATTGAGGATATCTCGGACAAGTGAAAAACTAGACAAACCAAGTCACGTTACGAGAGCTGATTGGATTAAATGACTTTTATTGTGTTTTCTATCAGATCGCGACGTCTTTTACTAGTTTGATCTCAATTGTTTAACTGTATCTGATACTTTACTGCAAATTGTTATGCAGCGAATCGGCCGTATTCGTTTGAATGCCCTTCATAACAAAAATTTATCGGCAATTGTTTCTCAACTTTAACCGTCATATTGTTTCACAGATTTTTCTTGCGTACTCCGATTGGTGATTGCACAATTTCATTAGAAAATATCAAGTAGGTATTATTAACTGCGAATTGAACGAATGGCCGATCACGTCAAATATTAAAGTCAGATGAATGTATCTTCGATATTGTATAAGACTTCGACGCGACGGTTTCTGCGCAGATGCTATTATAACTCTGCGTTTATATATTCAAATGTAGGCAGTAAGGCAATCTTTTTATTTTATTCTTTTTTTCTTTTTTTATTCAAAGAAAAAGAGTTTACAGAAGAAAGTTGAATATTTTTTTATCAAAAAAACATTATTAAAATTTGAAAATGTCGAATTCACGACTCATAATCTCATTGTCTTTAAAATTTATTAAACTATTACTGTCTGACATCACTTTTTGATTCTACACATTCAGCGTTTGACATCCTAACTCGTAATAGAATTTATATTTCTCAGAGAATGAATCGATTTAACGTATTTAAAGAGCTCAAACCACTCAGAATTTTGATTCAGTATAGTAAGTCGAGTTAACGACGATATTCCATTTATAATACATGTATTTTCATGTGACGTATTTATTTCGATAAAACTGCCTTAAATATACTATTATAAAGATTATTTAGAAATTTTGATGAATATATAAATATCTAGGATATGAACATCACTCCATATTGATATGTTCTTATACGCAGAATTGTTTTGATAATTGAATGTTGTCAAAAGTAATCGAAGCAAAAAAGTAGAATAACAGCTTTATCTCGTCATCCAAATTTCAGTTTTCTAAACACACATATGCGTGTATCCAACGTATCTTCAATTTTTGTGCAATTATTTTTACGCGAATCAAGGTGAATAATGTTTATACACGTAAGAAAAGAGCGTTCAACAACTAATTTTGTACTCATCAGTCTCACAATCTTTATCAGAAAATAATACGAGATATGCTAGCATTTACAATTTTACAAACGATTTTTTGTTCTAAAGATATTCTTTTCGAAAAACACCCAAATTTTCATTAATATTTTGGCTTATATTTGTATATAAGGTGAGATGGCTTACTAATTTATATTAAAAATATTTGTAGTATTAAGATGGAAAATATATAATACTTAAGAATAATCACTAATTATGAAACGAGTATTGACATTAAGATTTAAAAAAGTCGTCCGTTTGAAAAGATCTCATTGCGAGCGAGATTTGGTAAAAGCAAATATACTTTATACACACACACACACACACATATATATAGTATTTATGGAGGACAGTGCGATATTTCTCCAACCGTGCGATGTATATTGATTTCCTGGCATGCGTTAATCAATCGAAAAGACATATATTTCCCTAACGATCATAACAGTTTCACCATTGAATGTGTTATTGAATCTAATTCAGTACTCTTTGAATGGTTTCCAATGTGATATGTAAGTGTTGGATTTGTTAGACACTCTCTTGAGTTAACTTAGCAGAATTGCAAAGCAAGTTTATAGTTTTAGAGATCAGCGCAACTCTACAATTAGTAACGACTCATTATCCGATATATCTGTAAATATATAAAATCAATAACTGTATATTGATGGTTACAAGCGAAAGTCATTAAGCTGCATTATGATATTTTTCTCAGTCAGCCAGAGATATAGACAAATATACATCGCTAGAAATCGATATAGAAAAGACAAGAGAAAAGTAGTAATAGACAAATCTAGTTATTCGCGGAAGCCGAATAGGAATCAGGAAGAATCGGTGACTACATGGGAGACGATCGCACAGTGCTCTGCGACGACCGCGCGAGTTAATATACATAATTATAGATGTGGATTTAAGATTATAATTGTATCATAAGGAAACGTCGGAAAACGAAAGATGTGTCGGTGATGACACTGAACAAACAGAAATACAGAAGCCAAGTCGATATTCGCCAGCAGCGCGTGCGAGCACGTCGCGCGAGCGAGGTGTAGCTTATGAGAACTCGTAGAGGCGAGCTGAGAGTGGAACAATTCAGCGGGCGAGCAGCTACGGCGATGTGCGAGTGCGCTTGTGCTCTTTGCATATAAATATATACATATACAAGTACAGAAAAAAAAAAAACGTAAATTGATGTTTGCTATGTGTTTTTCTCCTCCAACTTTCCGTTGCCGACGAGGCGCGTGCGAGCGCCAATCATGTTTCTCTCTTACACGACGGCAGTTTCGTGGGGATTAAAAGAAGGGCGCGACGTGAAAGAGAGCGTATGAGTGAGTCGGCAGTCAGATGAGCGCCAGATGCCTAGATGTTATTGCTATGACGTATGGCCGAAACTGTCACTTTATCTCAGTAGAGAACAGTTCTGTTAATGCGATTATCATTATGACTATGCCATGGTATAATCTCATCAATATTGTGGAATGGATCTATTTATGAATCCGTCGATCGTTGATGTAATCAAACGTGTTCTGAGTGAATTTTAATAGAACACTTTAAATCGATTTACCGTCTTATTATTACTCCCAGTATCCGCATTTTTGTATATTCAATTTTTCATTTTCACAACGTTTATGTAATTTTATTTACTGCCGTGAGTCATAATTTTTTTCGTTTGTTTGTTGAAAAAACTACAGCTAAAGATTTATTCGCAGATAGAAAATACGCGGAATTACGAATAAAAAAAGTGTCGCAGTCGGTAGGACTCGAACCTACGCTCCCAGAGGGAATCTGATTTCTAGTCAGACGCCTTAACCACTCGGCCACGACTGCTGCCTTTACCGACCTTGCTGACACAGCGCTACACTTCGTTCAAACTGTTCGCTCGTACTGTCGGTAATGCAGAAATCTATTTTATACTGTATTCCATCGTTTCGCCAAACTTTTACTTATAAATTCCGCAACCTGATCGACGGACCATATTTAATACTACATATATGTGGTTGATTTTTAATGACTACAAGTACTCAGCAGCACCCGTAGTTGTAGATCTTACAAACTGCAAGCTTTTTTATTTTACAAGTGGAACAAATATTAATTCTCGCATTCTCATCGGTCGAACTGATTCATGTAAATCCGTGTAAATTCCGTTAACCAACAAAAATACAAAAGTGTAAAAATGCCAAATATGGGGTGTCGAAGGGAAATTGAAGTAGCCGACTGGATGGTAATTAATTAAAGAAAACAGCAAAATGGACAATAAAACGAGATATATTCGTGATAATTGCAAGCCCGAAAATAATTGGCACGCGATGAAAAGCACGAAAAAGTTGGCATTGTTCAATTACGCGTAATAGCTATAGTCGCCCGTACGAAACAAATAAAGCGTCGGCTGAATTTCCACTCCAAATAATGAGAGTTAGCCGCCGTCGGTGCCCAACGAGGGAGAGAGCCAAAGAGACGAGACGAGCAAAAAGTTGAAAGGACGTTGGCTCAACTGGCCGGGAATATTCCATTAGTTGAAGGGGCACTTAAAGCACCCTCTGAATTATGCAAGGTAGAAGAGTTCGTGGCATCGAATCTGCATACGTCTGCGCGCGTCGATCGCCACTAATAACCGTTCGCCGTGGAATTTCGGAGTCTCGATTGGAAATGCTCCCCTTCGGATGGTCTGCGGCGCCAGCGAAGGGGACGGCAGCGCGAAGATAAGTGGACCGATTAGAGGCCTCGCTGTCGCGGCGACGTCATCGTCGCGGCGCCAAAAGTTTGAAGCCCCGAGTGGAAACGTTATATTACTTGTGCGTGCGCCGCCAGGAAAGAGATTACACCGCGGACGATTGTCCGCGCTAACAATTGGATTACTCGGGCAACGAGCGCGTGACGTCTCTTCTTTGTCGCTGGTCAATTCTAGTGTCGCCCAGTGTACGCACGAAGACAACTTCGCTCATGTTGATCCCGCGTCGGATGTTCTTATCCTACGTATTCCCGATAGTGGCTTGATCGGAATGTAAATAGATTTTGCACGAAAATCCGATGTTAGCGCAAGATAGTCGCGAGCCTTTGGCAAACGTTCTGTTTTTGAGCAATGACGCGCGATGCGACTACGTGTGTGCAAGCGCAGTACATAGTATTCGTTTCTTTTTTTCTCTGACATAACTGCGACGCAGTTAACAATTATTACATAAACCAATTTGTCGCCTCGTCGCTGGTATCGCAGATCAGAGCCAACGAGCTCGAAATCAAAAGGCAGCGAAGCTACCGGTTAGCAATTTGACACACAAGGGCAAACGTTACCCAACAATAGACAATAGCTATATACTCGCGTGTTGTCTTGGCGTGCGCCGAACGCATGATTAACATAAAACCGAGAGGGCTCCACCTTGTTCCTTGTTTCTGCCATTCCGTTTCATCATGGGACATACGTTGGGCTAATTCGTCGGCGATATTTCGGTTGTCAGTCAAATGTAGCATCATTCGCGAGTGAGTTTCAGCTAGAGAATCGAGAAATTGCGTTTAGAAGGCGAGTATATAGACTGCGAACGCGTTTATGCCAGAAATGTGTGAAAAAAAAACAAATGAATGAAATGATACAGAAAAAGATGTGTTATTAGTGATTGTACGAATAAAAGGTAGCACAGATTGATCGATCGTAATGATGGTTATGATACTAATCACGAGCGCGAGTGCAACACGTGCAGCGGTCACACGGGGGTCAAATGTGTTGTGTGATGCGGAAAATTTCACTTGTCACGATATGTGCATACAAACGAGACGGCGATATCTATAAACGCGTGACGCATCCTCATCGGCGACGAACACTGATGAATGCGCCTAGGATCTGAGCGTCTCTGTGGAAGAGTTGTGGTCATACATCTTTCACTGATGGAAATTTCTGAGCATTTGGCTACTATGCCAAGGTGCTTGTATTACATGAAGTTGATTTTTTATTTGCAGCTCAGTCGGCTTTCAAATTTTTAATTATTAGGCTCGCGAGATTAGGCTATTTCTGTCCATCTGATCGGCAGAAATAAAATTTTATAACATTACGATTTGCTTAGCGAACGTTAGAAAAATGTCATTCTACAATTCCGTTCGTTCGTTTTCGGCACATTTCATTTTATTGTTCCTGCAACATAGTTTTTAATCAAATCAATCGTGTACATTACAAGTCGTAAACTAAATTTATGATGTTGAAAGAGTACGGGAAATTCCACTTGCATTTTAATCGTTGCATATGCATGGAGACTGTAATAATCGCGTTAAACAAATTATTTAATGACAATCTAATCTTAGCCTGATGAATAATGGCAATCTTGATACTTTTCCTTGAATGGGTTAATGTAGCGTAATATAAATGTAAAAAAGACGTATCGTAAAAATAGCAAATGTTTTTCAAACACTGCGAACTGAATTTAAAACCAATTACTGAAAATTAATTGTTCTCTCACCATTTTTCGTAATCCTCTTTTTATGTACTTACCGATTCAAAGGTCAATATCGGAGAAACTATGCAAAGGAATTTGCACACATTTTTGAAGAAATATTTTTAACCCGATTCTCGATTTTCATCGACAAATAACACCAAAATGATTTATTTTAAGGTCGATTCCTGACTAAATAAAGCTTGCGTGCGACTCAAATACAACGAAATAAGTAATATTTTATCGTAAAAGTGTCAAGCAGTACCACTTATTTCATACAAACGGCACTGTGAATTATAAAATACAATGTATTACCATGTGTACTCAAAAATGTAAAGAAAAGTCAATAAGATAATGTTTGATGTCAGTAAGCTGATGTTTGATTTTACGAGAGACATGCGCCAACTGAAATAGAAAAGCGATAAATTATCCTGACAAAGGATGAAAGACGTTTGCCGTACAATTTGTACCAATTTTCAAGTTGATGCAATCGCGCGATGTTTGCAATCTGATGTGCTTGCCAGCGAGGCGCCCGCCGATTCTCTCTCTTTGCTCCAGAGATTCGCGCGAAATCGGCTGAGCACCACAATCGGACGTCGTTGTAATCGCGATCCAAACATAATAAAATGCCTTATCACTCCGCGTGGCACGCGAGTTCGGCAAAAAAAAATATCCAATGCGAGGTTTATGCCTCTATGTACTCTCATTGTGCGTCATTAAATGTATTTTTATTTCCTAGCTTGAGTTGTATTTTCATTGCTTATGATCGCCGTCACGCCTTTATAAATGTTTTAATTTTTTGACATTATCAGAAATTAAGTTCATGACATCTAATAACTAAAGGTTCTCTTTGAAATGGTTTAATTTATGGGTATTGAATTGTAGATACTTGATAAATATGATTTTTATTAAATTGGATATTTTCCTATTCAGCTTGATTAGTTGAATTTACTGTATTTAAGTTGGTGAATGTAAGAAAAAATAAATTTTTTGTTGTTGAAACATTGTTTATGGTTTCATCGGCAATTGATTTCGTTTCGTCTTTTTTACTATCATTTAAGCTCAACCAATATACATAATCTTTGCATTTCAACATTTCATTTGAAATGTCTTGTTCTATAGTTGGATTTGATAAAAATGATCTCACATGAATAATAAAATCACTCATTACACAAGACATTGATACGTATGTTTTCTATTTTTCAAGCATGCTAACTTACTGATGATCAGTAAATAGTGTAAACTTTTTCATTAGAGTAATATATCGTGATATAAATTCAATGCGTGAGAAAGGTATATGTGAGTAAATTTGATTAGGCATTATCAGAAAATGAATAATATGAATAGCTTATACAAGATTCACTCGGCTGATTCCATGCGATAAAAAAAATTTCCATACTGCGTTCATATAGCAAATAGCGGTGTCCTGATGTCAATCAAGGAAACGAAATAAACTTCAAACATTGCCGATCCCATTGCGAGGAAAACACCTGGTAGATGTGTTATCTGTTAAATTTTACGAAGATTGTGCATGCGCGAGTGTTAGTTATCTCAGTGGTCACGAGAAGGAGGCTCGCATTGATCACACCTCGGTCACGTTTTCCCGTGACGGACGAACGCCGGCCCAGGTCAAAGTTTAAGCCGATTGTTAATGGTCACACGCTTCTCGCTGTTCACCTCGAATAATGATCTTAATTTTTATACGACCCGAAAAATTTTCAATTTTTTTGATGGGATAAGCACATTAAGCGGAAGATGGGTTATTAATATGCCGATCAATTGCAAGACGGGAGCATTTTTTTAACGGCTTTCCTCGTGACGCATGCGGTGGTTGATTGATCAATGGATTAAATTCGCGGAGCCACTTGATGATATATTAACTGTGACACGCCTGCTGAATAACCTAATAATTGTGGTTTTTCTTATCGTTATACAGCAAAACATGTTTTCGCATATCATGATAATTTTGTAACTTATTTCTAACAGTTTTTTTTTTTCATTGACTTGTGTTTGAAACAACTCTTACATGAATGTTGGTTCTGAGGAAAGGTCACATGAATATTAAAAATCCGTTTGTGTCTATTTCGAAAACTGACTTTTCTATGTATAATCAATTAGATGATTGTTGCAAACCTACATTGCACAGCATAATTATCGATTATTTTACATTTTCGATCCGTTGAACTACAAAAATAACTTTGAACTTCTACAGTACTGATCGCTAATTTCGCTCGTATTTTTTATTCATCGTACAGCTGCAAGAGCAATATTTTTCTCAACAGTCATTAACGCTGTTAAAAACGGAGAAACACAAGATATCTGAGATAGACCTAGCAATTACATAAAGCAAGTTGGCAAGCATAAAAGTAGACGACGGTTTCGTACTTTCGCGGCACGTGCTGCACCGTGTGAAACGGAGCTATTCGCTCAAGCGGCCGACACGTGCGCTGCATTCGTCTGTACGCGCGCAGGTGTAAGAAAAATGCCGTCGTTTCGCATCGATTTTCCGTCTCCTTTTTTTGTTCCGCGCGTTTTCATTTCGCAATCGGCACTCGCGCGACCCAAGTTTGAAATAATCGTAGCCTCGAATCTCATCGGTGCATCGGAAGACAATAATAACCAACTGTCGCACTGGAGCCGTGGAAAACATTGATTGGAAGATTCTGGTATAATTATTATTGAAAAATACAGATATGCATTGACGTTATCGTTTAATCATCTAATGAACTTTCGACTCGACTTTACGATTAATGTCCGCGACAATTATTATATGATTTTGAGATAAACATGCAGTGAATGCACAATGTTTTCAGTCTCGAGTTCACCTCAGACCGATAGATCAGAAATGAACGTTTGCATGTGTAATCCTTATACAGCATTGCGAGTGATAAATTATAGCCCATAAATACGCGTATAATAACAACGTGGTACAGGTAGTACGACTGGTGCAGTGGTCAGACATGGACAATTTAAGCTGCTAGATATATCGATGAATTTGTGATACTCGAGGAGTCTTATACTTTCATTCATCCTCGGAATCCAGTATGAGCAGTGCTTATTAGCAGCGGCTTTCACCATTCGGCTATTGTCCGCATTCTCGAGAAATGATGCCTATTCAAAGTCGCTTTCACAAATTTTCCACGCCAAGAAAATCGTAAATTAAATTTTACAAATGTTCCTCCAGCAGCTGCGGATATGAACTACCAACTGTGTTGCACTAATTGTGCTGTCCGATTTCCACTTTTTTTCCATTCTACCTTAACGAGTCTACGCTGGTCTGAAACGAACGTCGAGCTAATTTGTTTTCGTGCAAAGCCAATTTCGAAGACAAAGCAATTCCATCAAGATAGAAGAAAAATCTTGTAAAGTCAAGCCCAAGAGTCGGACGCGATTTAGATGCTCGCTTATTCGAACATCTTCGTAACTAAAAAAAAAAGTCGTTTAGATCGAGCTCACTACAAACGGCGCGGCGCCGGTCGAAGAGATGGCATCCTAAGCAAACAGCCTCTTTCCCAAATGAGCCAGTCGTAGGAGAAGAGCGGAAAGACCGAGAAGAAGAAGTAGAAAAAAAAGAGCGCTGATTGGCCGGCCGAGCAGTGGCAAATCGAGGGAGAAGCGAGAGCGAGCGAGAAGAAAAGAAGGCAGCGCGGGGGTAGGGGAACAGTTCGCATACGGTCGGCCGGTCCGTCGACGTTGTGCGCGCGCGCGAGTCGTCGGATTTTCGGGGGTGGGCGGGGAACGGCGTCGGCGTCGTTGGGGCGCGGGCGTGCTATATATGACGTCATCCCGGAGTAGGTCGCCACGCACTCAGCTGACGAGCGAGGGGTCAGAGCACACAGCCGCCCGATTCAGCAGCGCTCGTCCCGCAGACTCGGCACTATTCCCAGCCGCGCACGCACGCCGCACACTTCGACGACCGTCCTGCCAGCTTGGCGCGCACTTTTCCGACGACCAGCCGCTGCAGCTGCGCCGCACGCATCTCGCTCCGATCTCCTCGTAAGTGCGTCCGCAACTTCCTCGCCGCTTGCTCGCCTCTCGTTCGCTTCCTACGACTATGCTTGTACTTATTGCACTTCGTCGATTGGCGCTCTCGCCTATTGCATCTACGCGCATTACGCTATTTACAAACACGACGGATGTTTTGCGCGATAAGCGTTTCACTTTTATTTTACGTGTCAATGGCTATGTCGCATCTTCTTTCCCAACTTGGTTGTTTTAAAGATTAGTCGTATTATTTTTTTGGCAGATTAGTCAGATTATGACTGTTGAAAAGTCTACGATTTAGCGAATGTCGATGGCCTCGATCGCGTACACCTGCATTCGAGAGACCTTCGCGAACGTCACGCGCACTTTTCGCGGTTACGCATTTGCCCCCCTGCCCCGCTTTTTCTCTCTGCAGCTCTTGAAATATTTCTTCATTCCGAGTAGCATCATCCGAGCGCGGCGGATTGCGGCTTTTGATAATCGATCGGTCGCGTGGAAATTCTCCAGGCGCCCGTCGCGCAATCGCCTCGCTCGAGCGCAGAGCCGCGGCGCAAGTATAAATCAACGCGGAAGCTGCGACTGACAAAGGCATCGCGGTGGCGATGACGTCGTGGCGCGCTTCGCGAATTTTCCACGTGGGCGACGCGAGCGTCGACCCGCCCGCGCGCGCGTACGACTTCGATAAGGTGCTTTGCGTAACTGTCCCGACCACGGATTAAACGGCTTCTCTCGTTCGCTTCGACTAATTGCTGGCCTTTTCGGCTATTTCTGTTGGCGCCGATCGCCGATAAATTGCGCTCGTGACGAGTTGCACCGGTATTTTTAGCGCGCGCGCCGTGTTTGCCTTGCTGGCTCAACGTTCGGCGATTGTGTAATTTTCTGACATCAATGTAGTTCGTGTCTCTGTCGAATTTTCCTTATCAGGAGGAAAGCTACTGATTTTTTTTTTTTTTTTTTTTTTTCTTAATTAAATAACGATTGTTCAAAGTCAAATATTTAATGTTGGCTCGTTGAAAAATTTATGAGCCGTAATAGACTCGATATGAATGTTATTTCATATCAGCGAAATCGAATTTATCGAAATTTAACATTGAAATTGGCATGTTTTTATGGTTGCAGGTATATCGAACGGCATTAATCGAAAATGGCGGATTCCTTGGAACACATGCCCAAGCAGGAGACCATCAGGCTCCGCGAGCAGTTAATCGGGTAAGTCCTCCAAATATTTGTTCGCGCGCGCGCTCTCTATCGGCAATTGCCTATGATGGACGCGCGCGCGCAAACGTCCTCGTTCGTTGGTAATTGTTGAGAGCACTTATCTTCGCGAGTAATCCCAGGCCGTCGGCATCGGCCAATCTTCGGAATCCAGTGGAGGCCTAGTGGTGAAGCTTCGGGCCTAATCCCTGCCGCGTGGCTCGACTCGAAGCGTATTAGCCGCCGACGCCTGATCGTATCGTTACCGCGCCCACGCGTGGAGGCTCCGTCTTCTACGTACCGATTGCCGACTCTCTGAAATGCCCACTTGTCAAACTTGCGAAATTGTAAATAATGATTACTCGACAAATCTTCTTGCTACTTTTACGTTCGTTACCGATTATTCCGAGAAAAACCATGGGGAGATAAGCATGTTTGTTAGATCTTGTTATTGAATCTTGCCGGCGGAAGTTGTAACAGATAGAGCCTTTCGTGCGATTGTGGGTGATATGTGAAATATTCGAAGAAAACGGCAATGATCATTATCCATTTCAGTCGCGCGCCTATCCATTTTCTTCGTTCTTGCTCGCGTACAATGTTGCGAAACGCAATTTGCGTATTCGATATGTCTTCTTTATAATTCAAGCATTGTCGATGTATCTTTAATGGAGCTCAAAATCAAACTAACATATTGTTACGTAAATTTACCGTCGTAATAGTCGTTTAGCACTAATTGGAAGAATTGTCAATCGTTTATTTCATGGCCAATTTTCGGGCCGTGTCAAATTAACTTAGAGCTAGCATAATTGTCTCAATCAGAGACATGATCTAGATTCGACTGGGGATTGCTGCGCATTTTCATTAAATAGCTAGTTTTCGTCGGATTATAAAGCTTTTGGGCGCTGTTTCATTGCTTTTGCCAGTGAGTGGGAACAACGTGAAACAATGATATGAAATTCCAAGCTAAGCACTATTTTTCACTTAATAAAAAAGCGTTTCTTCGAAAGCGCAAAGTGTTTATGTATGATATGTACAAAAAAAAGAGAATACCTTGAAATCGCCAACGTATTAACACAATCGTTCAAAAAGTAGATTATCCAATACTCGTTGCTGGTACATTAATATTTGACATTGACAAACACGAAATAATTAGAGGTACACGCGAAGACGTTACATGACAACAATATTATTATTTGCAGCAGTCCCTCGTAATCTCCGTAATTAAAATATTTAATTAAACTTAATTGAAAGCGGCCGAATTGTGCCTTCTTCGCGAAGTGTCTACCTGGCGCGTAAAAGGAGAGGAAAAAATGTCGCACAATGAGGGCTCGCGGCAGATTTTACGGAGAAGAGAGGAAGCTCGCGCTCGGAAACGATCTCCTAACTAGAAAGACCCTCTGCTAAATTTAGCGAGGCGGCGTAATTAAAGTCGAAAGGTCGCCCGCGGATATAGCGCCGGGGGAAAATTAAACGGCGAGACGCCGTTGGGATGCGAATTCCCGTTTTTCGCCGACGCGCCCGCTCATTTCATTGTTCCTAATCTTTCGGCGTCCCCTCGGATGATTTATTAAAGTGCCGTGGTTGCTTGCCGTCTTTGCAGGGAGTCGTGCACGCTCTTCTACAAGTCAAACCCATTGAAGATCGTGAGGGGCAGGGCGCAGTACATGTACGACGAGAAGGGCGAAGAGTACCTCGACTGCATCAACAACGTTGCGCACGGTGAGTACTCGACTTTTTCAACTGAACAGCTTCTTTGTGATCGGCGTTATTGATTGCTCTGCTCGCGATAACCGTGACGAGCGAATTGCATCAGCTTTCCGATCACGTGGTCGACTCGTTTTTGTTCGACCTACTCATGCGAGATAATGCCTATATAATTTCGTCTTATCAGCGCCGCGCACACAATAGAACTTTTTTTCTTTCTAAGCCGTCGTCTCGCACGTTTTTATTTCTCAAGACGTTAGACATGCATGCGTTCCGCAAACAAGGACGGCCTCATTTCGGCCGCGATCCGCGATAATTTTTCGATTTCTTTTTATCGACGAGCAGCGAATGAAATCTTAATCTGCTGTCTGTTTTTGTTTTCTAGTTGGCCACTGTCATCCGACCGTGGTGAAAGCCGGCCAAGATCAGATGGCCACGTTGTCGACCAACATGCGTTTCTTGCATGACAACATCGTGATCTCCGCGCGTCGACTCACCTCGTCGTTGCCGGAAAAGCTGTCGGTGTGCTTCTTCGTCAACTCGGGTAGCGAGGCCAACGATCTCGCTTTGCGCCTCGCTCACACGCACACCGGCAACAAGGACGTCGTCTGCATCGACCAGTAAGTTTCCTCGCGACCCTTCTTCTCCCTTATTCTTTTCTAGCAATGCACATCGGAACGCCACTTGGTTGCATCGAGGATACGCTAACTTTGGTCGTCGCGTCGCTGCAGCTGTTTTCTTCTTTCTTTTCGAGTGACAATTTTGAACGCGCAGTGTTTAAATAGCAAGCGCCTCATCGATATTCATGGTCAAGTTAGCGAATCGACGATCCTAGTGTTTGCCTCGCGAAAGCTTGCTAGTCTCTCGGACAAGTCGTTGAGCTCGAGCGAGTTGGGTGATACGTTGCCCTCACGAGTACGTAAAACTCGCACCACAGGTTCAACGGCCAAGTCACGTTCGGCTTCACTCGCCGCACTTATTCGACTTACGCTAGATGCCCTTTGCCTAGGATGTGTTTCTGTGGTCTCCGTTCTGCCTCAAGCTTTAAAGCTTTTTTTTTTATTTTGCTTTACACTGATACAAGAGCTTTATTTTCTTCAGCTTGATACTTTTTACCTTTTATTTTGGTGACGAATACTCATCGCTTTATTATTATTTCTATGTTAGTTCTATTTATAGAAACTAAGTCGTATTGTCATATGCTAATATTGAATGTTTCGGATCATACCCTTTTAACTACAAGGTAATAAACTGTTGTACTGATATACAATCTCTGAAATCATAATAAAATATTCTTGTTTTTCTTGTATTTTTTTTTAATATTGAGACAATTTGCAAGTGGATACATCTTTGAATTAAAAATTTTTTAAATATTGCTAATTCATTAATCATACGTTTAAAGTGAAATATATAGTGAAATAAAAGTCTATTTGATGATGATCAGGTATCATCCGAAATGCGCTTGAGTAATTTCTAAGCCGTGTAGGACAAAATTCCAAAGTCATTCATTCCGTCCAATCTAAAGATCGATATAATCAATGACTGATGGATCATGTATTGTTGTTCAAAGGTAGCCTTCGCTCGAAGACCAAATATTAACGGGTGTGTTCACCTGGACCCCATGGTTTGATTTAAAACAATTGAATACCATCTGTTGAACAATTTATCATTCTTAGTTGTATTCAGAGGTCAGTTTTATTAATCCACACGGTCTACTTTTGCTTGTTTACAGCGTGTCAATGGTCATTTAACAATGCATCGGCATGGATCGCATATTGAAAAATATAATCATGAGATGCGAAATTGGAATCAACGAGTGGCTTCTATCGAGACCTTATGATCATCGTGCATCATTGATCGATCATCGTCGATAAAAAGCTTATGTCATTTTAGGTGACACTGGACGAAGATGTATGTGATGTATAATGAAACAAAAAACAAAGCGTTTCGTTGGAAAATTTTTGCTTATGTTCTCTATGAATCGATAGTTTCACGAGGATCTGACTGGAATTATTTTTGAGGCTTAAACGAACGTTACATCGATTAAGGATATTTAGTAGATTATTTACATTTTTATGAAACATTTTTCAGCGCTTCTCAAAATTGTTATTTTTTTAATTTATAAACCTCAAACATCGAGTTATCTTTCATTTCAAACAAAATTATCTTGAGTTCCGTGATTTCGTTGTGAAATTGTTTGAATTTCTCAAATATTACATGTAGCTCAATTTAAAAAGAATCTACCTCAAACTTTGTATACCTCCATTGAAAGCTTTGTGATGGAAAAATTTGCATTACTAGGAAATTTGAAAATCGCATAAGTTTTCCATCAATGCAAATTTTTCAATACTTCACAGAAAGTTATAAAGTCGAAGGAATGTAATCGTCGTTCCTACTGACTATTTCGATCAAAATCATCAAACATCAATTGCGCGTTTGATGAATATTTATTACGTGTACAAATTTTGAGTTTGATAAGTCAAAATATTTGCTGAATATTATTCTTGGCTAAAAATATTCCCAATGGGAAGTTATTATAAATTAATAGTAGAAATATGGGAAATTCATTCATAATATCTGATGAAAATAACTTTCTTCATTTTTAGATTGACAAAAAGGTTTTAAAATAAAAGAATGAATTTGTGAGTTTGTTACAGCGGACAACTTTTAATTGACCTTTTATACAAATATTTCAGGATTATATCGACAAAATTTTGATTACAATTTTTAAATGGAAAATTGAGTTATTTTTAGAACATTTAATAATTAGTCATTTTTATTTGTGATTGTAGCGCTTATCACGGACACTTGACCTCGATGATTGATATATCTCCCTACAAGTTCAAGCACATGGAAAGTGGAAAGAAGGAGCACGTGCACGTTGTACGTACTATACTCAAATAGCTAACTTGACAAAATTTATTTCGAAAATAAGTTGAATGTGATTGATACTTGCTGCCTAGCAATAGATTTATTTTTTCCTTACAAACTAATGAATAGATTAAGTAATCTTGATCAGACAAGTGCATTTGGTGGATAAAAAAGATTATCAATGAAATTGTTTTCTTGCAGGCTCCGTGTCCGGATATCTACCGTGGCATATACCGTGATGATGTGTATGCCAATGAAGATCTTGGTGTGAAATATGCTGATGACGTGAAAAAGATTTGCGACGAAGTAACGGCCAAAGGCCGAGGCGTCAGCGCTTTCATCGCCGAGAGTCTCATGTCTGTGGGTGGACAGATTTTACCTCCTGACAACTACTTCAAGAACGTCTACAAGTAAGCTTCAGTTTTTTTTCTTACTATTATAATCGTTACTTCAAATATTACGTTCGTTTTGAACGCTACAGAGGTACACTGCGTATCTGTAAGCTTTCGTCTATGATAATTGTCTCATATTTTCAATGACGAATCCCAGTATTTTAATAAAATTGTAATCATAAATTGCGTTCTAGGCATATTCGTGAAGCTGGTGGCATTTGCATTGCCGATGAAGTCCAAGTCGGTTTTGGCCGTGTCGGCAGCCACATGTGGGCTTTCCAATTGTACGGCGAAGAACTTGTCCCAGACATCGTGACCGTCGGTAAACCAATGGGCAACGGACACCCTGTTGCTGCGGTTATTACCACTCCAGAAATTGCGCGCAGCTTCCGCGACACTGGAATAGAGTATTTCAATACGGTAAATTTTTATTATATTCTCTCGTTTTTGATGAACTTGGCATTTCGTGAATTTACTAAATATAATTGCAGTATGGCGGTAATCCTGTGTCTTGCGCCGTGGCAAATGCCGTCATGGAAGTAATCGAACGTGAGAACCTCCTAGAAAACGCATTGAAAGTGGGCAACCATTTGATGTCTGAGTTAGAGAAGTTGGCTAAACGACGACCGATCATTGGTGACATTCGAGGCGTCGGTCTTTTCATCGGCATCGAGTTGGTCCTCGATCGTAAACTTCGCACTCCAGCCATTGCTGAGGCTAAATACGTAGTTTACAGAATGAAGGAGGAAAAAATTATCGTGAGCAGTGAAGGGCCGGACTACAACATACTCAAGCTTAAACCTCCCATGGTTTTCAGCATTGACAACGCTAATCACTTTGTTGCTAAGCTTGATGACATTCTACAAGAGGTTGAAACGAGAGAAGAAGTGCAGGTAATTTATATAATTACTTTTTTAACTAGACGTATCACGCTCGCTGTCGATTTTATTTCATTTATTGGAATTTAAATTCGATGTTGTGTCGAAATCGAACATTTGAACTTTGAGAAGAGTGCATCGAATATAATCTATTAATAGTGAATCAACGATAGTTTAATTGGGGCACAATCGAACCGTATTGCTTCGACTATAGATGATAAATTTTATCTGTTATTAGATATTTCAAAGAGTTCATTGAGTTTCTCAATTCATTTGTTATCAGCAATTTGATGAATCTTAAGTTTAGAATAATTATTCGTGGCGTCAATTCAGGAGCACAAGTCGTGCAATGTGTTACTGTATTAATTTTATTAATTTTCAGTTTATTGACTTTTAAAAACTAAATGATATTAATGTTTTATTTACTTTAATCATTCTAATTGTTTTATGTTATAGCCCCAGACCCGGACAACGGCAATCATCAAAGCTGTCATTACACCACTGCAAATGGACATGGAACAAAATACTGTTACAGCTAATGTTAATTCGGTTCTCCTTAAATCGAATTAATTTATTAGAAATCATAATTAATTTTAAGTACAATGAGGAATCGATTGACTTTTTTGAGTATTATGTTTGTAAAATATTATTTCAGTATAATGAGCGACCATGGGAACAACTGAAACATTTGTACATAAATAATGTAAATAGAAATGAAATTTAGTAATAAGTGAATCTATTAATTTGTTCATTGTTTCTATAATTATCTGTTATAGTAAGTGTTAAATTAAGTTAAATAATATTGCATAATGTATAAGATTTATGTTAAATAATGTTGTGTCCGTAGAATTATGTATTTTATTCTAGATTTTATTCCATTAGAATTAATTTTTGTAATATGTTATGATTTTGACTGATTCAAGAGATACTGAAATAAAATATCTATATTCTACTTTCCTAATGTAAAAACACACTTTTTAAATAAATATATCAACTGTAAATTGAACATACTCGTTGAAAATTAAATTTATTACTTCCCCTTGAATCTTCCACAACAAAATAAAGAAATAAGTAATTCTTTAGAAGTAGTTTTTTAAGAAATTACATATTAGTAAAATAAATTCATTCCGTTTACTTTATTTCCAATATACCGTTATCTTTATCGTTACATATAAATTGATATTATTTTTTCAATGGTGATTATTTTCGTTGAAATAATAAAGAAATTCATATATTCCAATTCTATACATTTGATAAATCATGCTCGTAAATGATAATTAAAATCAATCATTAGTTCAAACTTTTAATTAAAAATCATGATACCGATTGCTTTTATTTATCTTTGCAAGCTTTCAGCTGCGATTAGCATATCGAGTATTTTATTTAAGCTATTAAATGTAAAATTGAGTATTCTCATAAGTGCATAATACGGTAATAGTAGTTTAGCAAAATATGTTTTTCAAAAGTATTAAAAAAATAACTTACTTCAAAAAGTTGCAACGTTATTTTTTTTATATAAATTATACGAAAAAGTAAATTATGTGCTGTACCGAAAGATATATAAAAATAATTCAACAATATTATAGCGCTTGAAAAAGTTTACGATAATATTTTTATATTAAAAAACCGTATAATTATAAATTACTTAATTTTCTTTGTACGAATCTGAGGTTCTGACATTTTGGTAACTTTAATTTTTAGTTTTATTAACAGTGTGCCCATGCATCAAATAAAATTTTATAATAGATACTTAAAGTTTAGTATCCGCAAAATCTATTACAATTTTTTCAAATTTAAACATCAATATCATATCTTCATTACATTTCCGAGATATATTTCTTGGCGGGTCAACATTATTTGCTCAATAGAGAACTTTTACCAATCACTTTTATAATAATAACGAAAAAAGTTATTTAAAAAATACTTATTATTTAATATTTAAAAAATAACTTAAAAAGAAGTTATTTCAAAAATTTGGGGATAAAGCAATTAACATTCAGTCATTATGGAGCGATACAAGTGTGATAGAAAGATACGGCTTGCCAGTTTTCAAAAAGTGAATGTGAAGATATTGCTATAAAATATGAATGAACGTTGGATTTTTTCTTAAATTCATTGAGTAATGATCAAACTATTTTCTGTTATTAAATGGCGGAGTTTATTGGAAACACGTTTGGTTTTTTAAATAACCGTTGATGACTAGAATTACGATAAAAAAATGTACAACTTTGTTTCAGACGTCAACATATGTAGTTGAGAGGAAAAAATATCTAATTAGATACGTAGTATACGACCTCTGACCAAATGTTCTATAGATATATACTTGTATATGAGCCAAGGAAGAAGCTGCGCAAGCGTTAAATCATGTTTATGAAAAAATATTTACACGTGAAGTAATGCTGGTACAGCACTTAGAAACTTTGCGATAATGTGATGAAATTACATACTAACTATGAAGCGGTTTGAGGAATCGCTGATTTAGCATTAGTACTATCAGCGTTAGACTCTAATGGAATTCCTTGGGCTATAAATTAGATCAAATATTCTCAATTGTCTATTCTGAGCCGAAAAGCGCTGAGAAATAAGATGGTTTGGTCTTCTGTTCTTTTGTTGCTCCTCGGTAAGTTCTCAAAAATAAAATTTGAAATACTTCAACTTCTTTGTAAGTTCTAAATTCACTTTCATTTTATTTAAACATTAAAATTAAAATTGATATTTCAAAATATTAAATACAATTTAAATAAAAGAAAATATGTCACTGTAAGTTTTATACTTAATGTATTTCGAATATTATAGTTGGGGCAACATTCGCCAACAATCAGAATGCCTGGGACGAGGGAAAGCAATACACTTACAATGTAAGAAGTCGAACGCTGGCTGCATTCCATCAGCAATCAAAACAGTTCACTGGTATACTCATCAAAGCTAAGCTGACAGTTCAGCCAAATGGACCAAATACTCTACGGGCTAAAATTTTACAACCACGTTATTCCCAAATTCATACGCGTCTCGAAAACGGTTGGGAGTCAGAGATTCCACGTGAACTAATGAACATGCAGAATCTACCTCTTAGCGAAAAGCCGTTCGAGATCAAGACTAAGAATGGCATTATTCTTGACCTTATTGTCAGCAAAGATGTACCAACTTGGGAAGTTAATATGCTTAAGAGTGTAGTTAGTCAACTGAACATCGATACTCAGGGAGAAAATGCTTTGCACTCAGAGCATAACCAGCTTCCTGAAGGTAGCCAGCCTTATGCTCTGTACAAAACTATGGAAGACTCCGTCACCGGCAAATGTGAAGTTGTTTACGACATCTCGCCACTGCCAAAACAGATGCTTCAAAGCAAACCTGAATTGGCTCCTCTACCAGAGCTTCGCAAAAATAGTGACTTAATCAATATCATGAAAACTAAAAATTACACAAACTGTAATCAACGAGTAAGCTACCACTTTGGGATTGACAGGCGTAACAACTGGGAACCCGGCAGCAATGATAACTCTAAATATCTTTCTGTGAGTATAATTACAATTCATAAGCTACCATTGGTATTTTCTTTTATCTATTTATCTAATAACTGATGTGTATGCATTGAATTAACAGAGATCCACCCTCAGTCGCGTTGTTATTTCTGGAAATTTAAGAAAATACACCATTCAATCATCTGTCACTATTAACAAAGTAACTCACAGTGCCGATCTGTACGAAAATGAGCAAGGTATTGTTGCCAGCAAAATGAATTTGACTTTGTATGAAGTTAAAGAGATTTCTGAGCGAATCTCTGCACCATCCAATCCCGAATCCACCGGTAACTTGATCTACAGCTATAACAATCCTTTTGGAAAACCAAATTCTCGCCGACCAAATCAACCCAATCAACTTTGGAATTCCAAACACGAGCATCAAAATCCTAGAATGAACCAGGATAAAAGACATCATGGTCAAAACTTCGACGAATCGCTTGACGATTCAAACGAGAGCGTATACGATAACGAGGAACAAACCTACCTTGAACCAAAACCCAAATTGACGGAGCCACCTAAAAATCCCATGAGTGTATTTTTCATTGGAAACCAAGGAAACTCCGTCCAACAAAACAACAAAATTGACGTTGTAAAAACAACCAAGGATATGGCCCAAGAAATCGGTAATGAAATCCAGCAATCCGACAACATGTTCAACGAAGAAACTCTTGAAAAATACACTATTTTGACTAGATTAATTCGTACTATGAACGCTGAACAAATCGCTCAGGTACAGAGAGAACTCTATGAGCCAAAACAAGAGTTGTCTAGCCAGCTTAACACTAACAATCAAGACCAAACCACTCGTAGAATAGCCTGGGTTGCCTTCCGCGACGCTGTTGCTAAAGCTGGTACTGGCCCTGCTTTAATTAATGTCAAACAATGGATCCAGAACAAACAGATCTCTGGTAATGAAGCTGCTGAAATCGTTGATGCTGTAGCTCAATCTGCACGAATTCCTACACCGGAATATGTCGAAGCATTTTTCGTAAGTATGTCCGGCCAAAAGATGAAAATGCATTGATATATACAACTCAATAGCAAATCACTTATTTCCAACTAGGAACTGCTTAAACTCCCACAAAGCGAGGAGCAGCGACGTCTGCATGATACCTCAGTTATCGCTTTTGCCGATCTTATTCGTCACGCTACCGTTGATAAACGCAGTGAGCATAATCGTTATCCTGTGCACGTTTTTGGAAGATTGTTCACTAAAAAGAACCATAATGATGTACATGAAAAATACATTCCTTACATTGCTGACAAGTTGAGAAAGGCTGTTGACAATGGTGATAGTGAAAAAATTCAACTCTATTCGGTAGCTCTCGGTCGAGTCGCTGACCCCCGAATTCTGTCGGTTCTCGAGCCTTATCTTGAAGGACAAAGGCAAGTGTCGCCCTACCAACGTTATATCATGGTTCTTTCCTTGAACGGACTTGCCGTTAGTTATCCTAAAGTAGCTCGTTCAGTGCTCTACAAGATTTATTCCAATAATGCTGACAATTATGAAATTCGTGTCGCCGCTGTTTACCTACTTATGTTGACCAATCCGCCAGCAAGTATGCTCCAAAGGATGGCTGAGTACACAAATTATGACAGCAACAAGCACGTCAACTCTGCCGTCAAATCAACCATTCAATCGCTTGCTCTTCAAGAAGGCAGTGAGAATCGTGATCTATTTAACGCTGCCAGGGCTGCTCAGCCTCTTTTGACGTCTGAAATTTTCGGAGAACAATTTTCAAGATCTGTTTACTACAGGCTTAACGATCCAGTCACTCAGTCTGGATTATCTGTTGAAGCCAATTATATTGGCAGCGACGACAGTATTTTGCCAAAAGGAGTGTACGCTAATGTCAGTCCGACTTACAAAGGTCTCAAATTATCCAGTTTTGAGGCCGGAGCTACCGTTTCCAGCATACGCAATCTCTTAAACTTTGTGCAAACACACATCTTAAAGCAAAATCAAAAGGAGAAGGCCGATATTCGGAAAGATCAAGAGAAGAAATACTCACCTGAACAGATTTCTAAGTTGCTGGATATCCATGGCGATGCACCCAACCAAATTGAAGGACTTTTGTTTGGCAACAGTAAAATTGGAAACTATCTTCTTTCTTTCGATAACCACACTATAGATAAAATTCCTGAAGGTAAGAAATAATTATCAATCGTAAGTTATAATATTTCTGAAATTTGTTATCAGATATGAAAAATTTTTTGCAATTAAAATTATAGAGCTCAAATATTTGTACAGTCAATTAAGAAATGGAAAATCTTACGAATCGACAAGGCTCAACAACTATGAAGTGACTATCAGTTTCCCTACGGAAACTGGTTTCCCATTCCAGTTTAATCTTAGAACTCCTTCAGTTGCACATATTGAAGGATACAGCAAACTCACGAACGAAGAATTAGATAATGAATCCTTTAGTCCAAAATTAGTTACTCTCAACGGTAAACTTAAATTGCTATTTGGTATGGAAGTCCAGAAGAGATTGGGATTCGTAACACCCTTTGAGCATCAAGAATACATAGTAGGTGTTGACAGAAATATGCAAATTCATGTGCCTATTCGTGGCGAAGTACACTTCGACAAACAGAAATGTGAAACTCGAGTAACTATTCAACCTAATGAAGACATTCCTGAATTCAAATTTCTTCAATACAAAACCCAACCTTTCACCTCAAAGCATGATATTCTAAACATGGAACCTGTTAAGAAAGATCAGAACACTCATATCATTCATAAAGACCGCACTACTCAATCACAGATGTTATTCAGTGATATGAACAACAAAGAAGCCGTAAAATTTAACTGGGAAAGACAAACTTGGAATTCACAAGAAGAAAACCAAAGGCGTGAAAACAAACAACATAATGACCGTGTGGCTATACATAAACTCTCGCAATCGTTGATGGAAATGTCTTATGGTAAACAACAGAGCGATGCTGAGTATGAGAAATACTCGGTAAAACTATCTCCAAGCACCGACATGAAGGTAGAAATGAAATTATCTTACGACCATCTGATCACCGAAAACAACAATGAAATTGAGGATTACGAAAGCTGGGTACCAGAGGCTAAAGCTCCTCGTCTAGACAAAAGTCTCAATGATGCTGAGCGCAAGCAGAAACTTATGAGAGAAGCTGCTAAAGATATCAATTCTGCCAAAGCTGGCGCTCTCAATTTAAATCTTAAAATCAGTGGAGGCCTGCAGGCTTCTTTGGACGTCACTGCTGCTGGTGCATTCAGTAACAACGACCCTAAATCTCGTGCTATGCTTTATGCTCTTGTCACAAAAGGAAATCATGAATACTATTTGTCAATTGGTATGGAGGGCAAAGTACCAAATGTAAAGTCGATGGATTACGAACAAACACTAAAAAATAACAAACCTAAAGAATTTAAAGCAGTTCTATATTTAGGGCAATTAAACGATGGCAATGGAGCAAGTGTTATGAAACTCAAAATCCAAGGAAAAGCTAAACAAACTGAAGAACGCAAAAGTGCTATCCGCCAATCTCGCGATGCTCAAGAATGCAAGAAAGAGGAGAACCAAAGTGGTAATAAATTGGGTAATTCTTGCCAAGAAGCTAATAAGCGCGCTCAATATGTCAATTTTGGAGAATTGACCCTTAAATTGGAGGATAACGACAAACTTAGCGAGGCTATCTTAAACTCCTTGACTGATGCAGAACAGTATCTTGGATACGCCGTTGACGTTGATATACAAAGAAAACTTGATTTGAAATCATCTAAAAACGAAATCAAGATGTATTTGGAAATATCGCCCAATGATGAAATGGCTAATCTAGCGATAACGACTCATAGAGGAAAATTAGAGATCAACAACATCAAAATAATGCAAAGCTATAACAAAAATAACGGCAACGTTAAGGACACCAGAAATAAAAAAGATCCTGACACTGATTTGTATATGAGAGGTAAATAAAAATTGGTAAATACCATTATAAAACTTAAATTTAATGAAAGATTTTTTACTTGCAGCTGTATGCAGTCTTGATAAATCTGAGGTGAAAACTTTCGATAACAAACGTTATTCACTAAGACTCGGACAATGCTGGCACGTTGCTCTGACCACCTTTCCTATGAATAACGCTGACATCCCTAACAACCAGCTAGAAATTCCAGAAAAGATGCACGTTACTGTTCTGACCAAGGAAGATGAAAATGGTATGAAGAAATTGAAGGTTACTCTTGGAGATAAAGAGATTCAACTTTTGGCAACCTCACCTCGTCAAATCCGTGCTGAAATAAACGGCAAACTTATTGAACTTTCGCACAAAAAGACCTATCAAGGAAAGCAAATTGACAAGATTACTTTCGAACTTTTCAAACTTGAAGATGGAACCGCTAAAATTATCTCCGATAAATATGACATCAAGATTTTGTTTGACGGAACTCACGCTCAAATTAAGGTAAATATTTTACCTAGTATGAAAATTTTGAAAAATACGTTCTATAAGTATTACTTTTACATATATAGGCTGGTGAAAAATATCGTAAATCTGTTCGTGGTCTCTGTGGTAACAACGATGGTGAGCCAGAGAACGATCTAAAGACTCCCAAAGGATGCACACTTCAACGCCCGGAAGAATTTGCTGCCATCTATGCTCTTACGCAAGACGGTACTTGCCAAGGGCCAGCTCTTAAAAATGCTCAAAAGGCTGAAGATTCTGAATGTACATACGAGAAGGTTCGTGCAGGAAACATCATCAGTGAGCAAGAAGCTGGGCGTGAACATTCTTTCAAGAGTAGAAAGAGCAATGAAGAGAATGAAAATGGCCATTGTACACGACATCGAACATTGGTTACCAAAACTGACAATCAAATTTGCTTCTCTCTTCGCCCAGTTCCCAAGTGCTCACCTGGATGCTCAGCCGAAGGCGAGAGGAACGTTAACATTTACTTCCACTGCGTTCGCAGAACTGGTACCTCTGAAAGAGTTGCTGAACGCATCGAAAAGGGTGCCAATCCTGATCTTAGTCAGAAAACTGCATCCAAGACCGAAAAGCATCGCATTCCTTTATTCTGCAAGGCTTAAATCGCATTAGTTATGTATAGTAGTGAATGTAAATAACTTAATAAATAAAAAAAATATTTTTTATTGTAATAAATAATATTTTTGTTTTTAAAGCCCCACATATATTAAAAAAGAGAATCAATTCATATTAAGTACTTTTTATAAGTTGTGGCTTTTGATCTAAAATATTTTTTTGAGTTTTAAAAATTTATAAATAAATATAATGTTGAAAAATCAATTAGTACTGCCAAAATGAATTTATCTATGTAAAAATGTTTTGATTAAAATAGTTTGTTCATATTTAAGTTTTTATACACCACTTTAATTAATAATACCAAAGCACGACCTTTAATAGGATCAATTAGTTTTAATAAATTTAATTTTTAACATTCTTATGAATGTTTGAAAATTTTCTTTTTTCGTCTGAGTTTTTTCTAAATTTCTAACTCAAAAATATGTTATTTGGTATACATGTAATTTTTTCCGCACAAAAAATTAATGAATTATTATACTGTCTTAAAATTGTGATATCTTTGTGGTATTTCATTGCTAGATCTTTTATTTATGTAACCTTCAGAGTGTCCTAGAAACAGGAAGTTCGTCAACATCCGCGAATCACGTTTTAATAACGTAATTTGTCTATAGCTGGTGCAGTTTCTCAATTCCAATCGCAATTTCACAGTTGCAGAAGTGATTGAAGAGAAGGTGCATACCATGAATACGAACTTACAGTAAAAGGTAACACATTAGAATGGAGAGACTTCTTTTTATTTACACTAAATTGGAAATTTTAATAAAATTAAAAGTAAATAATACTATTTTATGAGACAGTATATACTCAGACTTCAACTAAACTAAGTGTTTAAAAAACGAACAGTTTTCATAAATGAAACTAAAAATATTTGATAAGTTTTGTTCGGCTTTTACTCTATATTATCAAAAATACATAAGGTGTGTAAAGAAAAGGAATGGGAAAAGGTGTGCGCAATAAATAGATGATTGCTTCCGATTATAACACAACTACGGCTTTAATTAAATGATAACAGGTAAATAAGTAGCACTTATCCGGCATAAAAACCCCAGTCATAAGTGGGGAAGAGTCCTTTAAGTACTAATTTTACAATAACTAATGATAGATAAAGAAAGAGAGAGCTAAGACGCGGGAGGCTGTTAGCGGCTCGCTGAGCCTGTACATATATATATATATATACGCGGTGAATGGCCATTCAAGAAAAATTCGCTTACCCCATGGACATCAATTCTGGTATGATAGGAGGGAGGGTGCTCTTCCAAACACACAAACACACACGGACGCGCCACAGCCCCGACGTCTCGGACACACCAAACTGTGGCATCGACTAAGTTGCCGATCTGATGGGCAGAGATAGATCATGGTAGCACCCTAGAGACACTACGTAGTCCTCTGCCTACGTGGTCAGCCCCATTGATTTGATGCCACTGATTCACAGACACCTCGACTCCTAGACAGCGCACGCAAACACTCTCGATCGCACAATATAGTTGCAGAAGGTGGAAAGTGTATGCCACGCACAGAAAAGACGCACGGAAAATTCCTCCCTACTCCTTAGGCCCAGTACCACGGGCAGATCCTAGTTCGGCGATTAAGAGGGTGGTAGAGCTCCGCGCGAAGTCCATTGGCTACATGCGGGTGGTCACGGCTCGCCACTTTTTATCGTGCGTGCCCTTGAACAACTAGTGTCGTTCCTCTAGACAATTTAGTTTCCCCAAAACATGCTGAGACCAAGAATGGTTTGACATCCACGTGTTCTTCAGCTTTCACAATTTGGGAAAAACAACCCCAAAGAAACTATGTTAGACTGTATAACGATGTTGGAAAGTAACTCGGATTGTTTGAATAGGCGGAGTCCAGATGCGATATGATTTATTCCAGAGAACGCGCAAACTGTCCTAAACTCTTGCGACACTCGGATTTGACAGCTTTGTGAAGGCTAACATAACCATAATGGAATAAAATATGGCCCATTAATGACCCTCTGCTTAGCTTACGCTCTCTGGATGCCTCTCTCACGTCTTCACGCACAAACACACACACACACACGCACAATGCCGATCGGCATCACCCTGAGATCGACCTGTATTTCTAGTTCATGTAGAAATTTTTCTGAAGAAATTTTCCGAAAAGTACGACTTGGGCACATTCTCAAATCCCGGCCGCTTGCAAGTTAATCTGCATATCTGTGGAAGCACGTTTTTTGTCCATTGCACGCCTCGTGTTAAAAACGTACTCAACTGCTGTGCGGAACACTCGCAAAAAAAGGAGCGGAAAGTGATTTGATGACTGAAAACCTAAGCGACCATCGAGTGATTATAAAAACCAGGTGGCTGTAAATAAAAAAAAAACAAGAGAGGATATTCTACTGACCACTTCGGGTAGACAGCGCAAACTGGCGTCGCACCACTCTCCCGAATTATCAATTGTACCCCCCTAATGGGCCTTAGAAAGTAGGGTGGTGACTCTCGTCTTCCTGCTGGAAAAGCGGAGGATGCGAAAACAGTTTCTCTCGGAAAATCGACGAGTTCGGTACTCTCACTAACCACTCTCTCGTGTTTAGTAGCGTAGGCAGGAATCAATTTTCAACTTGAAGAGATGATATTCAAAACAATAATAGCTGGATATATTTACTTTAAGTGTGCGAAATCCTAATTCTATGTAACAGTTAGATTTTACGCAATCAGCGTTTAAACAAATTCATGTGAAATTTTCCGGTGCTTCTCCAGTCGAAACGGCAAGTTTAATTTCAATTTTAAAAACAGTTTCTAAAAGTAGATGTTTTCAGCTTCAAAATGTATATTTTGGCTATGAAAAAAAATATATAAAATAGACCAGAAACGACGCGGAAGTCCGACGTTTTCGGCTGAGCGCATTGAAATAGTCAAGTGGTGGAGATACGCGCATATATAGTAATACATGCGTCGCGTTTGTGGCATGAGTAAATTTTTATTCAATTAGATTAATGTGCTTACGATTGCTTGAATAATTTTATATTGATTTTTTTGTGTCAATGACTGAGCAGTTCACAATGACCGTTAGTGTCGCTTCACTTTCCATTCAAATGTTGGAATATAGCTGAATACGGCTTACTGTGATGGAAGAAAAGAAGAGAGCAGAAGAGAGAGAGAGAGAGAGAGAGAGAGAGAGAGATCAGTAAATTTGCTAAAATAGTCACAAAATAATCACAGATAATCCAAAAACGACATGCTATACGCTACGCATGTATTACTATATAGACGCGTATCTTCTTGCTATATTTTGTATTCTCAACCAGGATCCTATTGTTATTATTATTGAAATTCAATAGAATGGCCATTCAACGTGTGTATGCCTGTGTGAAGGCTAATCAAACCTAAACTATTATCATCGTTCCAATTACTTTCTGTGGCGTTTGTTATAATTAATTCATGTTTAATTTAGTTTGTATTAATTTGTCGGTATTTAAATAGCTTTTTACCAACATGAGTCTGTAACTTTTTAAGCTTTGCTAGATACTAGTTTTCTTTTTGTTCTTCTTTCATTAACTAAACTATTAGTTAAATATCAGGAGACTTATTTTTATCATTATTTATATTAATTTTATTATATACTATTCAAAGTAAACATATGCATCATATGAAAACGGCACGTGCTGATAATAGAAGTAAAATTTTGAAATCAGTTTTCATGAAACTAAAAGATTATACCATATGTTTATTGTTTTTATCAGTTTGAAGCAGTTATTGGTCACTCAGTAGATCATTGAAGCCTGGCCTCTTGAACTGTGTCTCGTACTTGTTATCTTAGTAAGAGCTGTGAGTATTGACATGAGAATATCTCTAGATTTTATAAAAATATTTTACACGCGAAATGTATAGCATCACTTTGTGTATTAAAATTGAGAAAATATTAATGGTAAATATCTCGTTATTTTTTGCCGAATGAGAATCTTTAATTTTCATCTAAATAGTTTGATCTACGGCCGCAGTTATAAATACTTGACAAGTTTTCCAAGCTGCGTATTCCACACTGATTCACGACACGGAACAAAATGCAGCGATTTTCTATCACTGTGCTGCTCCTTGGTAATTATTACTTTTTATATATCTTTAAATAATTACCTTATTATTTGTTTTTTGTTCTTTTAGTTTGAAACTTTTCGATTGAAATATTACATATATTTCATAAACAAAGAATTCATGACGTTATTTTTACCCTAAAATTTATCTTTATTGTTTTTATGTTTTTTAAACTCTTTACGTATTTTATTTTGGTAAATTATTAAAATATATTTAAAGTAATTACATGAATCATTTATTAAAATATTCGTTAATTAAATAAATAATTTAAATTTATTTCAGTAGGAGCCGTGTTTGTTCAATCGTCTCATGGATGGGAAGATGGAAAAGAATATACTTACAAAATCAAAAGTCGTACTTTGGCCTCATTCAACGAATATACTAAACAATTCAGTGGCATTGTGATGACAGGTCAATTTATAATTCAATCTAGTGCACCAGGGATTCTTCGAGCAAAAATCTTTCATGCACGATACTCTCCTATCCATTCGAAATTGGATGATGGGTGGGAGTCGAGAATTCCAGAAGATAATATGACAATGCAGAATTTCCCTATCAGCGACAAGCCTTTTGAAATTAAGATAAAAAGAGGTGTTGTGAAGGATCTTCTCGTTGATAAAAGTCTTGCCACTTGGGAAGTCAATATATTGAAATCTATCGTTGGACAACTTCAGGTCGACACCCAGGGTGAGAACGCTGAAAAATTAAAAAACAATCAGTTCCCGGATGACAAGCAGCCTCATACAACGTATAAGACTATGGAAGACTCTGTTGGAGGGAAATGCGAAGTTGTATATGATATTTCACCTCTACCAGCGCATACATTGCAAGATAAACCTGAATTGGCACCTATGCCCGAACTTCGTGGAGATGGAGACATTATTTCGGTTGTTAAGAGTAAGAACTACACTAAGTGTGCTCAACGAGTAAGCTTTCACTTTGGTGTTAATGGGCGCAATAATTGGGAACCTGGAAGTGGAAAATATTTATCCGTATGTTTTCAAATATTTTAGCATTAAATAAATAAATTTTATATAACTTCATAATATATTCTTGCAATTTTCAGAGATCTTCTGTCAGCCGTATAATTATATCTGGAGATGTAAGGAAATACACTATTCAATCATCCGTGACTTCAAACAAAGTTATTGTCAATCCTGATCTTGGTAAAGATCAACAGGGAACTGTTTCCAGCAAAATTGAATTGATATTGCATAAAATCAATGCCATTCAAGATAAAATATCAGCTCTCTCCGATATTGAATCAACTGGAAACTTGGTTTACGATTACAACAACCCATTTGAAAAAGAATCCCTACGTCACTCAAGTCATTCAAACAGCGATGTAAAGAATGATACAAATAAGGAACATTGGCGTGACAACGATGATTTATATGAAATCAACACAGAGGCATACAGCAGCGAAGAGCTGGACAATGATATACAGCCAGAACCAACAATGACCCAGCCACCTCAAAATCCAATGCTTCCATTTTTCATTGGTGACCATGGTCATTCAATCAGGATTAATGAAAAGCTCAATGTTGTAAAATCCGCTAAGTCTATTGCTCAAGAAATCGGAAGTGATATGGTTCATCCTGACGTTATGCCAGACGAAGATACTTTAGAAAAATTCACCATTCTTTCAAGACTCGTACGTTTGATGAACGCTGAAGAAATCGACGAAGTTCAACGCGAATTGTACAGGCCACCTCTATCTATCAATGAGCCAGACCTAGGCAGCCAAGAACAGAGAGTTCATAGAAATACTTGGATGGCTTTCCGCGATGCCGTGGCGCAAGCAGGCACGGGTCCATCTCTTCTCAACATCAAGAAGTGGGTTCAAGAAAAGAAAATTAAAGACGATGAAGCAGCCAAGGTTATCGACGCCATTGCTAAATCAACGCGTACACCCACACCTGCGTATATGGAGACATTCTTTGTAAGTACAAACAAGAATTTTTATTTTTTTTTGTATCAATAGTAATTTAAAGCAGCAATCAATACCAATTTATTTCTATTTATTAGGAAATGCTCAAGTTGAATGAAGTAATTGATCCACCAGTCGTTTTTGATAATGCTCATCAATCGTATGCTGATCTTATACGTCATGCTATTGTAAATAAGAAGAGTGCACATAATCGTTATCCAGTGCATACTTTTGGAAAGTTCTACAACAAGAATATCCACAATTTACATTATAAATATTTTCCTTATATGGTTGCTCAACTTCAAGATGGTTTCGAGAGAAAAGACAGTATAAAAATCCAAGTTCTCATCAGTGCCATTGGTAGAACCGGACATCCAAGAATTTTTTCTTTGTTCGAACCATACATCGAAGGAAAAAAAGAAGCCTCTCCTTATGAACGGTTTTTTATGGTTATATCAATGGATAGACTAACTTCTAGTTATCCAAAAACAGTTCGCTCTGTTCTCTATAAAATTTACTCGAATACTGCTGACCATTACGAAATTCGTACTGCCGCTGTGTATCTCTTGATGAAGACAAATCCTCCAGCAAGCATGCTTCAGAGAATGGCAGATTTTACCAATTACGACAGTAGTAAGCAGGTCAACTCTGCGGTAAAATCATCAATTGAATCACTTGCCCAACTTAAAGATACTGAAAAACAAAATCTTGCCGATGCTGCAAGGACTGCTTTACCTTTGTTGACTCGAGAAAACTATGGCCCACAATATTCAAGAGCTGTTTTCAGTTATAACAAAGATTCAATAAGTCATTCTGGGCACTCTTTAGAAGCTTATTACATTGGCAGCGACGATAGTATTATTCCAAAAGGTGTTGCCATCACTATTTCTCCTATACAAGGTGGTTTGAAAATGCCTAAAATTCAAGTAACAGGAGCTGTCTCGAAAATACGAGATCTCCTAGATTCATTGCAGAAACAGCTGGGCCTGAAAGATAAGAATTCTTTAAAAGCCGAACAAAAGAAATATTCCTCAGAAAACATTGCTAAGATTTTAGGAATTAATGGAGATAAAGCAGAGTTGCTCGAAGGCTTCATGTCTTTCAGTGATGCCACTGACTCCGTATTTTTCTCTTATTCTGACAGACAAACCGGAAATTCAGGAGAACAACTTGATAACTTGGTAGTCGATCTTCCGGAAAGTTAGTATTTTATTTTTAGTTTTATTTTAATACTGAAAAATATTTAATAAAATTTTAATTGCAGAACTCAGACGTCTCCAGAAAGATTTGACAAAAGGAGTTAATTATGATAAGACTAGTATGTTAAACAGTATAGTTACCATGAGTTTTCCAACCGAAACCGGTTATCCCCTTACTTTTGATCTTAAGGTTCCAAGAATTTCGAAAGTAATCGGACAGTGTCAAGCTCAGATCGAAACTGACCACGAAAATCAATCTACCGAACCTAAATCTGTTACTATAACTGCAAAAGTATCCTTGACCCATGGAATCAAAGTTCAAAAACGCCTTAGCTTTGTAACACCTTTCGAAAATCAGCAGTACATAGCTGGTGTTGACAAAAGCGTACAATTTCATTTACCCATTGAAGCGGAAGTTGAATATAACAACAAAAAAAAAGAATTTCGTCTGAAGATTCAACCAAACAACGAGGAGCCGAATTTTAAGCTCGTTCAAACAAAAATTGAACCGTTTACTTCCAAACACGATATTCTTGATCTCAAACCAGTATCTACAGATAAAAACACTCTTGTAATTGAAAAGGAGAATTCTCCACCTCTATTTGTTTTTAGTGAAGATAACAAACAAAGCGTGCAATTCCATTGGAAAAGACCAGAGAATATATTGGTCACTTCTGAAACTTCTGCACTTAAAGAGGCAATAAGAGACATGGCTGCTTCCAATATGGCTCGCGCTGTTACTTCAATATATATCACCAGTACAAAAGAAAACACCGAATATCAAAGTTATTGGGTGAAACTTTCACCCAGTAATAACTTAAGCGTAGAAATGAAAATATCTTACGATCATCTATTCAAAGACCAGGATTCGTTCAATGAGGAGAATGAAAAGCCAAAGGGTAGAGCTCCTCGTCTCGAGAAAAATATGAACGAGGTAGAACGTAAACAGAAATTGTTGAGAGACGCTTCAAGGAGCATCAATTTCGCTAAAGCTGATGCTCTCGATGTCAGTTTCAAGCTCAACGGTGAATTACATACCTCTGCCAATTTTACCATAGCTGCTGCTAAAAGTAATGTTGATGGGAAAACTCGTACTCTCGTGTACGCCGCAGCGAAGGTACCCAACAAAGATGAATACTTCTTGTCTGCTAGATTTGAGAGCAACAGCCCTAATTTCAAAACCATGTATTACGAAGAGACTCTGAAGGCGATCACTCAACACGAACTTGACGGACAAATAAAGTACGGTAGGAGAGATAATGAAAGCAGTGCCGACATTTTTTATCTGAATGGCAAGGTAAGACAAACTGAAGAACGCAAAGATCAGATTAGACAATCTCGTCAAGCACAAGAGTGCTCTAAAGAGGCAAATCGCAGTGGGAACACATTGACAGCAGCCTGTCAAAAAGCTAATGAACGAGCTAGTATGTTCGATGCTGGTGATTTCATAATAGCTTACGAAAACGGATCACTGGTGGACACGATAAGCATGAATGCAATGAATCACGCAGGATATGTAAGTCCGATGGGCATCGTAATAAATAGGTATAAAAAAGGTGAAAAAAGTAAGGTCAAGATTGGGTTCAAAGTCTCTCCAAACGATGAGTCAGTTGATTTCAGCATTACAACTCCTGTTGGACAAATCACTGTGTCAGATGTAAAAATGCCTCACACTCATCGTTCTGACGATGAAAATACTGAATTTGAAAAAGAAAAGGAAAGCTTTGAAACAGTTACGGTTCCTATCTGTAAGTATTTAGTTTAGCAAAATCCAATATTATTCATATTAATATTTCGACAAATCTTATTTCATTTGTTACAGCTAGTTGTGCTTTAGACAAAACTCAAGTTAAAACATTCGACAATCATCGCTTTAATACGCAGCTTGGTCAGTGCTGGCACGTGGCCATGACTCCTTCTCCTAAGAATGATTACTTTAACCAAGGACAACACAAAAACATTCCAGAAGACAGACACTTTACAATTGTGATTCGTGACAATGAACATGCTCACAAAGACTTGATTATCACTTTAGGAGATAAGGAAATCGAGCTTTTTTCATACGGTAGTCGTAAGATCGAAGTTAACGTTAATGGTGACAAGATCAATATATCAAAGAATCATAGCTACCAAGAAAACAAAAACCAACAAATTGTTATAGAGATCTTTGAGCTTCCAGACAAGTCTATCAAGCTCGTATCCAAGAAATATGAAATCGAGGTTATTTACGATGGTTCCCGCGCTATTATCAAGGTACTAATAATTTTTATAAATTGAAGCATATAAAATAGCTTATATAAGTGAAAGTCTAAGATTATATTATTCATTATTGCAGGCTGGAGATAAATACCGTGCCTCAGTTCGTGGTCTTTGTGGCGATTACGACGGCGAATCGGAAAACGATCAAAAGACACCGAAAGGCTGTCTTTTGGAGGCGCCTGAAGAATTTTCTGCCACCTATGCTTTCATCAATGACAAGCATTGCTTAGGTCCAGCTCGCGAGAATGCTGATAAGGCCAAGCAATCAGAATGCGTTCACGAGAATGTTCAACCTGGAAACGTAATCAGTGACAAGGAAGCTGGACGCAAATATCGCAACAGCAGCGATGAGATTGACAGCAGCAGTGAAGATGCAAGTTGCACGGAGCGTCGCACGATGGTCAGCAGATCCGCGAGTGAGATCTGTTTCTCCGTACAACCTGTGCGCACGTGTATGTCTGGTTGTTATTCTACAGGCCAAAATAATCAAGATGTCGCATTCCATTGCGTTCGTAGATCTAGAACTTCTGAAAGAATTGCCAATCGCATCGAGAAGGGCGCTAACCCTGATCTTTCTCAAAAGAAGATTTCCAAGACCGAGAATCGTATGATCCCTATCGGCTGCAGAGCGTAAAAACGAAATTTTATAAATGAAAGAAAATATATTTATATAATTCCACGCAGGAATGCGCATTAAATATTTGTAAATTTAATGCGCATTATTAATAAATATATTAATAAAAATAAATGATTATCTTTTTATACTATTATTAGAATTATTTGCACTAAAGATGACAAAAAATCGCATTGAAAATGAAAATCCTAAAACATTTTCTAGTAAAGACATTCAAATTGACGAGATTACGCTAAGGCTAACTGAAAATTCAAATGAACCACACCAGTTCATTAAATGAGAGGTTCAAACTTTTTAGAACTCGTTAGTAAATTCAAATTTCATTAATCATAAAATCCGCGGCTGGAAACTTTGGGAAAGTTGACGCGAGTAAACAAGCTGCAAAGAAGGCTAGGCTCAGATCTGCGGGTGTAGAGAAGCTTCATAAACTACTAATTAAAAAGGAGAGAATTTTGAGAGGGCCAAAATCAATTTAAACAGAGCCACTTCTTGATCCGCGCCTCAAGCTTGCATTAGCTGCCCTTAGGGTTACGCGAGTTCTCCATCCATACGCTTCTCTTGTTAGACTTTGAAGGTAGTGGCAAATACAATGATCAAGAAAGAAAACAGTTAGCTGACCAAAGAAAAAAGTGGCTTTGTCTGTAGCTAGATTGCATGAAATCCAAGGGATCTTTGCCTTTACCCGCAGGGTATTGCCTAAGAAAAGAAAGGCGAGAACGCCAAGTTGGAGGAAAGTAAGAAGCTTACGGCGAGGCACGAGTATTATGAAACGAAGGTACTTTTAAATCTTTGACTTATGTTTTACGTTCAGATGAACTTATTACTTTCATGTAAAAAATATATTTAATGCTACCAATTGCTTATTTAAATTCAGCATACAGTAATAAAAAATAACATGCATTTATAAAGTTCTAATGTTAATTTGAACAAATCATAAATTTATTTTTATTTTTGACAATAAATCCATCGATGAATTTTGTTTGTACATGATACTTTGAAAAGTAAAAAAGGCTTCAGATATAATAACGGGTGGTTTTTCAACTTCGCTGTCTATGATATATTGCGATGAAATCGTTGGTGTATTAAATTTTATACCAACATGTGGAAGTCATATAATATTTGAAAGCATACAAAAAAGACGATGTAGCCACAAAGAAATTACCGTGCGAAAAACGGTTTCGATAAATGCGAAAAGCACCGCGAACATTAAAATACATTTAAAATAAGAGCAAGTCCGTTTGACGCTGTTAAAATAGCAGTTTAAAATCTGTCTAGAAAAGTAAGCAAAAAGTCACGTGAAAGTAGTGGCCCGCAGCTAGTGCAAAACAAAATGAAAGGAAAAAAAAGAGGAAAAGGCTGCGGCGCTGGTATCCCCTCGTACCGACCACGTAGTCCCAAGACAATAACCCTGACGTGCAGGCGGGTATTGCTCGGCTAGCTCTCAAACGTCGACTTGGATAAAAAAGTCTACCTGTGCGGCTGCGCTATAAAATCGATAGCCTCTAGCTCACTCTCTCTCTCTCTCTCTCTCTCTCTCCCCCTCTCACTCACTCACTCGTTCTTCTTTTATTATGAGCTTTCTCGGGGGAGCGAGAGAAAGACAGCATCCAAGTTTTTTTCCGGCTACTTTACTACTTTTAACTTTGCCGGAAAAATTTCTGGGCCAAGCTGTTGACGCCGTTGGCGCTTTAACTTCTCTCTCTTCTCGTCTTGCGCACTTTTTTCCGCTTCGATGCTGTAAGTACTGCATTGTAGATCAAGACGCTTTAATTGTATTGAAAGTTTGGATGTTTAAGTTTCTTTTTTCGCGCGCTGACGTCGATCGCTCACGGCAGATGAAGTTTTCAGCTGAGTTTCAGCAATAAAACGCAAGGGATCAAGGAGAGGGGTGGAGGGAGACTTCGAAGCGTAGCCAGCTTCCGGAAATTGTATTACCTCTTAGTGCTCGCTGTTTTCGATTCGCAGTGAGCAACAATAATGAGTAAGCACGCTGTTGCGCGCGGCAAAGTTGCAAGGCGCGCGAGCCTTGCGTGCAGCGCTCAATGAGCCGCACTACGGCACGTGCGCGCAAAGTTAATTTGGAGTGTGCGCGTGCGAGACGGCAAGTTGCGCGTAGTCTCGTGCAGCAGGGGACGGCGCGTCGAGTTAATTTGTTCGGGCGCGAGAGACCAGTTAACAAGCAACGATCGAGCTTTCATTCGTCTTGTTCCGTACTCGGCGACATTATAAGGTGAATTTCGAGCGACTTTGAGCATTCGCCACCTCGCCTCTATGGGCAATTGCGCGAGTGAACTGAGCGCTCGAGTAGGTCTCGAAGCTTTTCCGCTGCTCGCGCGAAAACGTAACGTAAGCATCGAAGCTGCAGCTACTCAGTGTTGCATTTCACCTGATCTACTTATCGTTAGTACGATACGCTCTGACGCGCCCTCCGTTCTTATCGCTTAATAATTAGTTTCGACCTCGTGGCTTCTGCACAGTATCGTGGGTGAAAGCCTTTTTACTGGCGGAATTTCTCCACTTGTCTTCCACTCTATTTTTTTTTTGTAGTTCGTGAAAGCATCGGCATTACAAAACGAGAACTACTTTATGAATCCCCTCTCTCTCTCGATTTAACATTTTCTTTTTAAAGAGTTTGGGGCAGTTCGAGTATCGCGAATGCTGCTTATTTTTTTATTTATTTTTTTTTCAATAGGTCCTCCTTGATTTGAATGACAATGCGATGGCTTAGTTCGACATTCTGACACCATGCACGCTGGCAAGGCGGCGGCATTTCCCATGGCAGCTCGCACCACAATCTTGCGCGCGAGAGTCGCAAGTTTCGTGAATAAATCACGCTCGCGCGCGAGATTGGCAGTTGAATGCGGAAAAAACGAGACGCCGGTAAATGGAAAACGGGTGAATCGAAGCAGGAAATTTCTGTTTTGATAGTCGCTGCCACTAACTCCTCCTCTGCGTACAATGCAAAAATCGATCTCTCACTCTACGCTAGCCGCCTATGGTCTTGTTATTGAGCTGTCCGTAGGCTCGGGTGCGCGGCGTGAAATGAACAAGCTAATCCCCCTCGCTCTTTTTCATTCGTCCATCAAAAGAATAGCGTTGGCGTGAAAAAGGAAAAAAAGCAAATAAAAAAAAAAAAATAAAAAAGTGGTTTTTACGAGCGATAATATTAAGAAAAGCTCGCAAGTGTGATCCCGACCATAACTCGTCCGCCGTGGCGACCGCATTTCTGTGGCGTTATATTAGAGCCGCGCCGCGCGACAGAAATTCGCACTGGTTCGGCTGAAATATAAACGCGAGCTTACAGGCGAAAGCAATTGCAGGAGCAGGCGCGTGCGTAGGCAATAGAACGTCCATTACCGAGGCACGGCCAGCGCGGCGCACACAGACACGAGCCCACAGTACGGCCGTGGCTATCGCCGGAACAGGATGCGAAACGGCCGACCCGGGAAATTACCGATTCGCTCGCTCGAGCTTACGTTAATTAACGCTTTGCTCTGCGACCTGAGCTTCGAATAAAACTCCCGTCCTCGTATGCGCGTGTTTCGTCGAGCCTACGCTCCGACGACTGTTCCTTGTCTCTTCGTTTCGCGCTCGCAAATTGATCATTGATTCCGCTGTGATGGCACGAAAGAGCCCGTCGGGAATTTATCGGATTGTTGCATCATTTCCAGCTGAATGAATATCTCTCAATTCAGCAGCGTGCCTTCGACCTCGACTGCACATAACTGCATCCTAAATGCATCCCAGCCGGCTAACGCTCGGCAATCGCATTGTAATTTAGTCGATAGCGCTAGGTATTCACTGCCTCGTTTTGCCTTGGCGAGTTCCTTCCCTGAATTCTCTCCTCTGCCGACCTTTGTTGGCGTGCGATCGCCACTGCTATTTGCAAACGCCGAGGCTTTATTTAAAGCCGTTTGTTCCAGGCGCGGTGAACGATGTTCGGAGCTATTTACCGATCGACCGGTCAAGCTGGTCTTACATTAGTATTTCTCGTATGCAAAGTAACGTTTTAATTTTATTGCTTAGCTGCGATACGTTGTACAAATTTGCATGATTAAGCGGGCAAAGAATATATATTCAGACCATTTTTTTCATGAAGCTTTCCCTCTTTTACTACCTTATTTTTGCATAAAGCCCAAGTGCACACTCGGCGGGCTTTACAGTTTTCTCGGGTGTGTTCTTGCTCGCATTAAAAAATCCTCGTAAAATTACATCCCAAATCCCTTCTCTGGTAATTTCGCTATGTACTACACAACGTACCATGTAGCTCCTTTCGCTCGCACACGCGAAACCTTGTTATTTTACCGTGCCCCTTCTTGTCGAGAAAGAGAGAGAGAGAGAGAGAGAGAGAGAGAGAGAGAGAGAGAGAGAGAGAGAGAGAAAGAGAGGACTGCGGCTGGGAGCGTGCAGAGTTCTACTACTTGCGCGGCTAATTTTCACGTTCACGGTCATTCAAATTAGGCTGGTTAAGAAGCTTACCTGCTCGGTGCAACAATGAACCAAAAAAAAAACGGAAAAATGTATTTTCCTGACGGGTTTTCTTTCGCGCGCCACTCACGTATCCGGGGCTAATTAAGTTTGATGGCATCAAAAAGGAAGCCAGCTCCTCGCTCATTTTGGTTAATTTAAAAGTTCGCGCAGGCACTAAAAGCGAGGGGTACAGAGAGGAAAGCCACGAGTAAAAGTTCGATAAGACGAAAAGTCGCGGCTTTTCCGTTTTATCGCTTGGGGTGCAAGTTGATATTTGTCGATCTCGTTTCGGATATTATTCAAGGACGCAATAACACGAGGCGCTGGCAACAGGCGACTTTAGCCTCGTATTTCCAAAGATATAAAGCGCTGGTGCAATTGCGGCGGCAGCATAACGGCGAGGAGGCGAGGCGCGCGGGCGCACTGCAATCCCATTCGACCGCCAGCGGCATATAATGTAATGTTAATGCGCCACGGTTATTGCCGCAGTAGTCATATCTGGCACCTTCCTCCTTTTCTTACACGCCGCACAGCCAGCAGCGTTTATTGCTCGCCCAGCCAGTCTCTCTCTCCCCTCTAACT